CAAGTCAGCGAAACTGACCACCCGATCCCGTTAGTCGCCTCTTACGACAAGCATAGTCGCCTTTTATGGCAAGCACATGGGTTGCTGAACACCTAGTCTATCCCGGATCTTCACGGGTCGGTCTGGCGTGAGATTGATGAGTTTTGTTGTGAGAGCGTGACATCAGTAATACAAGCGTTAATCTCAAGACAAAGACCTCAGAATTGGCAGGTATGTACCCAGGCTATAAGACGGGGTTTCTAAATAACCGTGTCTGGGCTTAGCAACCCACTGAAAGGCAACATCAGTACCAACCCACGTAAGGCCCTGCATCAACTATCAGCAAGTCTGACCATCCATGTAGTCCATGGGCGGATTCAGAAATTTAGGAGGGGGGGGGGGTTTCAGGGGGTTTTAGTCGGCTCACAAATGACCCATTCTTGTACCGCTGGAACATATATACTGCTTCTTGGAATAACATTAAAGAAGTTGGGAAAGGACTAGGTTGAACAAATATTTTGGATAACAACTTCTTATATTTCTGCCTGACAACAGTACACAAATCTGTATCGAAACGTCGCATCACGAAATTAAAGAAGTTGTTACCCATAAATTTGTTCAATATTTATAATGCTGGCGTTGAGAGTGAGTGAGTATGGTTTTACACCGCTTTTAGCAATACTCTAGCAATATCACGGCGGGGGACACCAGAAATGGGCTTCACACATTGTGCCATGAGAGGAATCAAACCCGGGTCTTTAACCACGTGACGAGCCAACTCTTTAACCACGTGAGGCTTCCCCAACCCCCAACCCCAACCTGGCGTTGAAAGAGTCGAGAACGAGTTTCTCTATCATTCACAAAGCTGAGTGTATCAGTCTAAGTAAACTTAAGCTCAGTATTATTCGTTACACTGCTCTTCTGAGACTCAGTATAAGCGGTGTAACGAATAATACTGAGCCTAAGTTTACTTAGACTGCTGTGTGTATCAAACGTTAAATTCTTGGATTTGCTTTGAAGTGAAAGGAACGCACTGAGATTACATTATGTGTTTTGCGGAAATACTTTATGATTTCACAGTAATATATTCCAACTTCTCGCCGCAATATAGCGGCCTAAAAGTAAACTCACTCACTCCAACTTCTAATTACACAAAGCTACAGTCCGTTTGACTTCATTTGAGACCGACGAATTTGTAATCAATGTGCAGTGAAATTTTTAATTTCACACGTACAATTTGCACATCTGGCTGTTCTACCAGCAAGTGGTCCTCCCTCGTAAGAAACAGCGAAAAGTGACAACAGAATAATGATCGTTTGTTAAACAACTTTGTTATTCGGGTGTCTAAAATTATGAGACAAATCATCAGAGTTGGTCTGTCGATTTCATGTGACTGTGCAAAGTTTGATTTTGTTGCATTTATTAGCTTTTGTGTTAGTGAGCAATTCATCGGTCTCAAATAAAGTCAAACGGACTATACCTTTATATACACGAGATTAATGAACACACGAGTCGTAATAACATCTATCTAGCGTCTGGTGTGGTGATAAATCACCATATGTACGATCGTTAGATGCCTGTAGACCTACACGCCTGTAATGAGAGGGGTATATACCAGTCACCGGTGTAGTAGTCGCCGTGTACTGTGGGGACATTAACAACGTCGTCATCCGAGACAACAGTGGCGCCACAAACCACAACCCGTCCAGGAATGATGGTAGCATTGAGGCTTGGGTCACACTGGGTATATTTCATTGTTTTGAGCAAGTTTCGTTTTACGCCGCTTTTAGCAATATTCCAGGAATACTAACTGAGTTTGGTTTTACGCCACTTTTAGCAATATTCCAGCAACATCACGGCGGGGGACATCAGAAATGGGCTTCACACATTATACCCATGTGGGGAATCGGACCCGGATCTTCGGAGTGACGAGTAAACACTTAAACCACAATGCGACCCCACCGACCTCAGCGTTTTGAATAACAAATAGTTATTATAAAACAAGTGGAACATTTCGTTGGTCTTGCTTTCGTATGTTTTTTAATACCAAATAATATAATCGTGAGAAAAAGTCAAAATAATTGAATGTTGACCACACGCCATTGTTAAAACACGAGTTTAATGTCTCATTTGGCAATATATCAGCCATAACCATCACCTAATCAGTAATATTTCAGCTGTATCACAGCGGTTTGAACATAATCGAGTACCCGAGCCGACCCCGGCTTTCAATTGGTCCCTAGGGGCCTATCAAAGCGACTTAAATGAATTGAGTCTTCAGGTTCGGTGGCTTGGTTGACTAGACTCGATTATTAACAGGTCGTCCCGAGAGGATGAGGGTTAGAATTAGCCTTCATGATGTCAGTCACTGGATTGTCTGGTGTGGACACGATTATGCACTGACCGCCGTCATATATCCGGAATATTTCGAATAAGTGCTGAGTTAAAAGCCAACAAAAACATAGATATAAGTTGAGAACTTGTCATTCTATTTGTTGGAAAATTCTCTATTACATTCGAGTTTGGCGTAAACAACAACAAACGAGTCTTTGCAAGTCAATCTGACTATCAGAATGCGCGAAGACAATACATCAATCAAATCACAGAATGGGATCAGCAGCTGACATGGAATCACGATGATCATGATGGTATCTTACATCCGGGTAGTTTCTGACTTCAGTTCCCACTTACAAGTTTTCATGTCAGATTAAAATATTCTGTATAACAATGAACTCTTACATAACGAGACAGTGATCAACCCGGAAGCAGTAAGAAAAAAGATGATAGTTCAAAGGGTTTAGTTTACCAACAGTGTGTCAGTTAGACGTTAAGAGTGGGTGAGTCACTTTAGTTTTATGTCGCGTTAAGCAATATTCAAGCAATATCACGGCGGGGGACACCAGAAAGGGGCTTCATACATGATTGAACCCTGCAGGCTTTAAAATCTACAGGACCTGAATGAAAACTGCAGGTCCATTTTGTTGAAGTCAAACCAATAAAAACAAAACAGACTACACTGTACACCGTTTCACACTGTTTCTACAAAAGCAATTAGCGCAGCCAATGGCGCCGAGAGACGTTTTGATTTGTTGAAGACTGGTGTTGACATTCCTATGCACAAAGCGCTGAAATACCAGGAAGTGAAACTGTAAGTTATCGTAACATGATGGATCATGGATGATTCCCGAACATCAATACAGAAATAAATTATGGGAAAGATTTCAGTTGACAAAACAAATTACAGATAAGTTATTGAAGGCCTGCAAATATTTGAAACTGCCTGCCCAATACAATAACAACTGACGCTGGGCCTCCGGGCCGGCGACTATTTCGAACACTGAGGCTACACCACCGCCCCATGTGGTTGGTGAGTATGGTTTTACGCCGCTTTTAGCAATAACCCAGCACAATCACGAAGAAATGAGCATCATGTTGAAAGGGAGCGGTGAAACCAGCCAGCATAGGCATGCTGCTAACTAACCTACTGAAACACTTTGAACTCAAAGGGTGGTGGGTAGCCTAGTGGTTAAAGCATTCGCACATCACGCCGAAGACCCAGGTTCGATTCCCTACATAAGTACAATATGTGAAGCCCGTTTCTGGTGTTCCCCGCTGTGATATTGCCGGAATATTGTTAAAGCGGCGTAAAACCACACTCACTCTCACTCTTGGAGTCGAACCACGAATTCAACAGCGCACATTGGTACATTAGGACCAACTTAAATTGCATCCTGTGAATCAATACTTGATCCAATACTTGTTGTTCACTAATACACAAGAGCTTCTGAAAGATCCTATTTCCCGTCTAATGCAGAGACCATGTCGCCGTATGATAGGTTCTCGAGTTCTTATTAATGGTTGCTATCAAACTACAGGTAATGGTTCGAGCCGGGGACACTAAACAGGTAGGGTCAGGAGGGACGATCTCTGCTGTGAATGAATTGTCCTCCTCACAATTCTGCACAATCACTTCTGTATATTACCAGACAGAAAGGGGCGGATGGGTAGCCTTGTGGTTAAAGCGTTAGCTCGTCGCGCCGAAGACCCGGATTCGAATTTCACATGGGTACAATGTGTGAAGCCCATTTCTGGTGTCCCCCGTCTTGATATTGCTGGAATATTGCTAAAACGGCGTAAAACTAAACTCCCTCACTCCACTCACACCCTGGACGAAAGATGGCGATGCTGATGAGGTGAGGTGAAATTGGGTTTAACGTCGTGCTTGAGAATATTTCGCTCATATGACGACGTGCATGTGTGTTTACGTGTATGTGCGGCTGCTTGTACTAGCCCAGACTGAAGCTGGTTTTATAGTGCTAGCCCACTGAGATACCATGCTGCAGTGAAGCATGAATACCCCACCCAGACACATTATACTGACTCCGAGCCGACCAGTCCTTGCTGTACCCATTAATGCCAAGCGTCAGGCAGGAACCAACAAGTACCATATTTTAACATCTTTTGGTATGATGCGGTCGGGAATCGAACCCGTGACCTTCCACTCTCCGGGCGGACGCTCCAACCTCTACACCAGGGAGGCGGTCGAGATGCTGGTTATGGTCTTTTGAGCCAATTCATAATTATGCTCTGCGAAAAAAGAGACGGAACTATTTATATTTTAGAGCGTCCAGAGGGTCGGTAGGGTAGCCCAGCGGTTAAAGCATTCGCTCGTTACGCCGAAAAAATGCGAAACATTCAGTAAAGTTAAAGATAAAGATACTCGAAACTCCTTAAGGGCCAGTTTCATAAATGTTTGACCAAGGTGAGAACTGGTCATTTCTCAGATTGAGACGGAGGCAGTGGAGCAATCTACTGGTTGAAGTGTCCACTCGTCATGAAAACCCGGGTTCGAATCCCCACATGGGTACAATATGTGAAGCGCATATTTGGTGTCCGCCGTCGTGATATTGCTGGAACATTGCTAAAAGCGGCATAAAACTAACTCACTCACTTACAACGTACAGAAAGCGTGCAATTCGTCCTTATCTTATCAGGTTATAAATAGCATGTCCCGATTTCAAGTGTGTTTCAAGCAAGTATTACGCAAGATTACAAACCAGTAGGTGACCTCACATGACAAGAACCGCCTCTCTCCGGACACCCCACGGACACCACGCCCACCACGCCCACATGTTACAGGTACACATTCTCGGTAAGTCATACATGTAACAGTTCGCTATCTACTCGTTACACCAAGTTTTGTTTTGGATGTTAAAATGTCAGGAACGGAATTGTGTCATTATCACAGTGTGCGACATCGACACAGGTGTAACCAGTCAGCCAGATGAATTGTAAATCATTTTACGACTTTTCAAAAAGGGGCAGTCTGTGACGTCTTACTTTTAGTTGTTTAGGTCATGCTGCCTAAACCTCGTCATAAAATACAGAAATACGATTTTTTAAAAGTTTAATATTAAAACTCATTTGTAAATACAATTTTCTAATGAAACAAGGAATTGGAAATCCGTGTAACCATAGTTGTTTGACAAATTGTAGTGTCTCTTTTTACTTTCACATAAGAAACTTCGGATCGGCTGAAAAGTAGGTCATTGTCTGAATGGGTTCAATAAGATACTCATGATTCGGTTTGCTCACCAACTGCTGTCATCCCATACTATACCATGGCGCCCAGGAAGATAAGATTGTTTATAGTTCAAGGACAAGGTTACTCGCATTAATGTCATGAAGACTTAAGGTCAGGGGGCGGCACTGGCATTCCTTTGGTTACAGGTTAATTTCAGGATTTTCAGTATTTCATATTTTTTTATTTTCCCAGTAATTAAATATTTCCCGTTTTATGCATTCCTGTAAAAAATGAAGGCTGTAGGTTACGAACCAGTGGTTGATAATATGATCAACCATAGAGTGAGTGAGTTTAGTTTTAAGCCGCATTTAGCAGTATTCCAGCAATATCACGGCAGGGGACACAAGAAATGGGCTACACTGACGTGGTTGACCACATGTCCTTGCATCTCAATTCAATTGCGTAGATCGATGCTCATGATGTTGATCACTGGATTATTTACAGATATATGCTGAGTGCATTGTTTTGGACTGTTCTATTTTTTCGCAGGTAAAGTAGGTTGTATTTAAAAATATCAACAAACAAACAAACACAATGCCAGTTCTTCTCTGCACACTCTAGGCGATGGGGTAGCCTAGTGGTTAAAGCATTTACTTGTCACGCCGAAGACCTGGGTTCGATTCTACACAAGGGTACAATGTGTGAAGCCCATTTCTGGTGTCCCACGCCGTGATATGACTGGGAAGCTAAAACGGCGTAAAACTAAATTCGCTCACTCCACGGACACTTTGGACGAAAGATCGTGATGCTGGTTTTTATTCTTTTATGCCAGTTCATAATTACACTCAGCGAAAACAGTGACGGAATTCTACGGAAACAATTAACGCTTCAACTCGCAGAATCTCGATCAGTGCTTCTTACTTCAGTTCATTCACACCCTCTGCGCAAACCTCTCTTTATCGTATTAACAAGCTATCTCAAGGGCGAGAAATGTTTTGAGTTAATATACCTTTTTGACACATTTAAATTAAAGGGTTTACAAGTTTAAACTGAACATGTCATCCTTTTCGAAAATCAGCTGTCAAATGGAGGGCGTTTTAATTATATTTTGGTTCGCATTACTTTCACGTGCCTGAAGCGTCTAACCAATTTCGCACGAGTATTTTTCGTCACTTACAATTTCTTTCAAAATTTTACAAATATGTTTGTATAATTCTTTAAATGTAACACGTTACGTTAGGCTGTGTCAGTTTATAATATGGTAAAATACAAACCATAGAATTTCGTGACGATTAGAGACGAGTATCCGGTCGTTATGCGGTATGCGGGGGCGAAATGCATGTTTTGCACGAGCAAATAACGCACGAGCAAAACATGTCTTACATCCGGACCATGAGTGATCCACCTGATCAAATGAACACTTTTCATTGAACACTAAAGTCTGTTTGCAGTGAAAACGTACCGATGAATGTCACTTTAAGCAGAAAAGTAAGGCAAATACAGTGAAATTAAGACTGCGAATCCTCATAAATTTGCCTTGCCAACTGAACATTTAAATCTCAGAATTTATTCATTGTAGGACAAAAGTTGTTTAACAAACGATCATACATTCAAATCGCTATTATTGGTTTGCATTACAAGGGGGTGAGCGCAGTAGATGGAACAGTGAAACAAATGCACGTGCGGTACGTGATGAGCGTTTACTTAGACCAACTCTACTTGTTCTCGGTGCTTCATTTAATGTGCTGCCCCCTTGCAATACAAACCAATAACAGCGATTTGAAACTATGATCGTTTGTTAAACAACTTTTATCCTAAGTTGAATAAAATTCTGAGATTTAAATGGTCAGTTGGCAAAGTAAAATTATGAGGATTCGCAATCTTAATTCCTCTTATTCGATTTAGTTTTTTGTTTAAATTGACATTCATCGATACGTTTTCAATGCAAACAGACTATAGCCTTTGTAGTTGGATTTCGTGATTGGCTAGACAGTTCAGATATCAGAAATCAGGTAACCAATGACAACGACAATGTGTATTGTCAGTGTTTACTGACATTCAATCAAAACATTCACGAGAATGGCAATCCTCTTTCAGTTTGAATGGGTTTGGTTTTACGCCTTTCAGCAATATTTCAGCAATATCACGGCGGGGGACACCAGAAATGGGCTTCATCCATTGTACCTATATTGGGGAATCGAACCCGAACGCTTTAACCCCTAGGCTACCCCACCGCCCAATCCTCCTTGGATCGCCCGTGACACCAAGCATGTTACGTTGATGGACCCAGTTCCACCTCCATCGAATTTCCTTCGTTTGACCACTTAAGAATATTGTTCAGCTTGTTTTTCCTTTTAATCAGCAAAGTTATTCTAAGTTAACAAGGCCTTACCTTCGTTTTTTAATTTTAATAAACAGAAAGGCTAAAGAAACCGTATACGTCCGTTTAAAATTGTCATATGTTTGATTTTTAACTGAAGATCTGTTACCGATGTCATATGAATATAACCTGTTTTGTAGCGTAGTCAGCACTCATGAATATTTTTTCATGGCTATGTTTTTTAAAATTTAATTTGAATTGAAACATTTGAAACTCATAAAATTGCAAAATGCGCAATGGTTGATTGGCATCTTATAATCTAATCTGTGTAAATAATATAATTTGCTTTAATTGCACGTACTTATTTTCTTAGTCATGCGGTTGATTCTTGCGGGGAAGCTCACTTCAATCACCAGCCTTCGCTGTAGCAGTATATTATTTTACCACATTACTGCAGATGATTTGGTAGAGTGAGTGAGTGAGTTTGGTGAGTTACGACAACATGGGGTATATTATATTATAGGATATTTATATAGCGCACATATCCACGCAGCTAGTGCATGCTCAAGGCGCTGGTATTTTTGTCCCTCGATCATTGGATGTCAATCTCAATGGCACATCGTATTATCGATCTCAACCCCCTGGGGAGAATACAACTCTTGATGCCACTAGGCGCACCGAGTTATTGTGGCTTTCTCATCCTAACGAGGATGAGGGTTACTGAAGGTTCATTCTAGCCCGGACCTTCCCGGGTTGATTTATTAGAATCGTTTGCAGTAATGAGTGATGATAAATAGACATATTCAAATTTAAGTACAGTTAGGTTTCAATTACTTAAAACACCTATTCTGTATTACCTTTAGGTTAGCTGCCAAATGGTAATTATAATCAACGGTTGTCCTGAGGTGCCCGTGGCGATGTAACGGTAATTTTCAGATACCGAGTCTGCAATTTCTGTGGACAGTGAAACCTCTTTAGTACGGACCTTGTTAATCCACAGTGAGTAAGTGAGATGGGTTTTACGCCACTTTTAGCAATATTCCAGCAACATCATGGCGGGGGACACCAGAAATGGGCTTCACACATTGTACCCATATGGGAATCAAAGCCGGATCTTCGGCGTGATGAGCGGACGCTTTAACCACTAGGCTACCCCACCACGCTGTTTAATCCAGAAACACATTTTCCGGAGATAATGAAATAAAAGTGAACATGTGCGTTCACTGTTTGAAAATTCGTGTATGTTTTGGGGTTCCTTTTCTATATGGATCAGTTGGAAGGCTAGACTGACGCCTAGGCTCTGAATATATATAGTATTGATAGAAACAGATAATTCTTTTTAAATTTAAAAGTAGCCCCAGTGAGACGAGAGATTCAGAACCTGAAGAAATCTAGCCTTGCTTCTTTTAGGGCTTTAGCATAGCAGAAATGGTTGGACGGAAGGGGACAGAATGCGGTTCAGGATTGTGAGAAAGACTACTGCAAGACGTTATGTCCGCATTAAAATATTTTACTGTTTCTTTAAAAATACATGTCTCCCACGACTGATGCAACTCTCCTTCCTAATATAGACCTGTAGCACTAAGACTACTCAGTGTAACAGGCTCAATCTAAAAGTACCATTATCCAATATCGTCTAGGTAATGGACCAGATGTACAGACATCGGGCGTTATCAAAACGGCTTATTATTTTCAAAGGAGATTCTCTTTGTCGTTATCCTGAGATATAAGTATCATAAAAGGCGACATAAGTGGGGATCGGATGGACACAATGGTACTTAACGACTGGATGGACCAACACTCGAGTTATTACCTACTAAGTGCTTCAGTAATGGAGTACGGGTCGATTGTTCTTGTGAGCCACAATGAGATCACGTCGACTCAGCATCTTCATCCAGCATCTTCCGTATTTTCGATGGAGGCAAATTGGACCCCAAAACTCACATAAACTATTCTCTTAATACGTCTAGATTTGATCAGCACAAAAATATCCTGAACACTTAGTAATACAATGGATGTGTCATAATGAAGCCTGGACTTTGTCTTTGATGAGTAGCATGGCAGGGGCGCTATGTCCGGTTCAATATACTGACCATAGAACGGCCTTTACCACTCACTCTGCCATTTCCGGGATTGTAGATGCTTCCTCCATCTTGCGAAACCATGTCGAATGTTTGTCCCACAGTTGCTTTTCATACTTCGAAGTGCATATTTACATTGGTTGATATTTCTTCCCGTTTCCATTTGCATGAACTTTGCATATCTGAATTTGATGGATAGCTTCGCTGTTTGCTGTATCTGTTTTTGAAAAACAAACTTTTCGTGAAAAATACATTAGATTGGGCCTTTATGTTGTTTGCTTATTGTAAGGTTACATTATATGAAATAAAATGTCCCAAATATCTTTGATTGATTTCGTATAAAACACCTTATGAGATGATACAAGCAAAGTGTATATTGAATTCTTGGCAGGCATTTAGATCATGGATGTAATTATAGATAACAACATTTTTTATTGTCTTTGAGTGGCATTTAAAAGTGATGCACATAAAAGGGGAAATTTACGGATGTCAGAATCTGTAAAGAGAGAGAGTGACAGAGAGAAGGGGAGAGAGGGGAGAGAGAGAGAGAGACGGGGTGTGTGTGTTTGGAGAGTCCCATTTGTCCAATTTGTGTTGCCGTAAAGTTCTTTTGGACGCCATTTTTCGTTTTGCGTCCCAACACTGCTAAGCATCACCAAGATGTGTTCACGTTGGTTCTGAGGCGCCTCATCACAGCGAGTTTTATGGCACCGCAATAGAGTGGCCAAAGCAGCAAGACCATGGTAACTTCAATCGACATGAGCGATAGCTTCCGAGATTCAGAACACGCGAACATGCTTGACGTCATCCTGTCGTTTTCACTCGTACTTACCACTGAAGCATTACAAATCATTCCATGTTTCACTGAAGGAAACGGAAGACGAAATGAAGAAAGCATTAAGACGCCCTTAACATGCTCGCCTGACTGAATTTCAACATCCGGGTCCTGCGGCAGCAATGGAATATGGTTTCACGGTAAACCGCCACCGAGGCTTCTGCACATGCGCAGCGCGAACACACATCGAAGCTTCTTTCATGCATCTTTAGTGTTGTAAACTGAAATATACGTAAACAATTTCAATTCATATTCACCAACATGTCTGTTGGTTTGACGGCTGCCGCCATCTTTTGTCACGTGATAGTCACGTGATGTAAGTGTGACAGTAGAAGCAAATCCAGTTGCACTCAGGAACCCGTGAAGATCCGGGTTAGAATTGATCTTCAGTAACCCATGCTTGTCGTAAGAGGCGAGTTACGGTATCGGGTGGTCAGGCTCGCTGACGTGATCGTATCAAAATTGGGTAGATTGATGCACATGCTGTTGATCACTGGATTGTCATATTCAGACTCAATTATTTTACAGACCGCCGCCATATAGCTGGAATATTGCTGAGTGCGGCTTAAAACTAAACTCACTCACTCACCCTGTTGCACTACGCAACATAGTATATATTTTACGATTTACCAGCTCATGCGTTCGTGATCATCATTCCGTTCTTTCAGGCCCGTGAAGATCCGGGGTAGAATAGGTCTTCAGCAACCCACGCTTGCTACAAAAGGCGACTATGCTTGTCGTAAGAGGCGCCTAACGGGATCGGGTAGTCAGGCTCGCTGACTTGGTTGACACATGTCATCGTTTCCCAATTGCGCAGATCGATGTTGATGCTGTTGATCACTGGATTGTCTGGTCCAGACTCGATTATTTACAGACCGACGCCATATAGCTGGAATATTGCTTAGTGCGACGTAAAACTAAACTTACTCACTCACTCACTCCGTTCTTTCATCCTGACCAAGGTGAATAAACGCCTCTATCGGTAGTCAATCTCTGGACCATATACAAATCACCATCACATGGCCGGAATATTCCTGAGTGTGGCGTTACGTAGCAACACAAACAACGTATAACAATGAACTAATTCTTTCACATTTTTTTACAGTATTTGTCTATGTCGGGATGTTTGCAGTAGTATGGGCCTCTTCAGGTAGGAATATATCATTAGAGTGTGTGAGTTTAGTTTTACTCCGCACTGAGCAATATTCCAGCTATATGGCGGCGGTCTATAAATAATCGAGTCTGGACCAGATTATCCAGTGATCAACAGCATCGATCTGGAATACGATGACATGTGTTAGATTTGGTCTTCAGCAACCCTTGCCTGTTGTAATAAGTGACTAATCGGAATGGGTTCTTTGTCTCGCTGACTTGGTGGACACATGCCATCATATCCGAGTTACGTGGATGGATCCTCATGCCGTTGATCCCATGGATTGTCAGGTTCAGATACGGACCTCTATGATACCAAAATCCATGACCATTGAATAACATCCTAGTTGGAATTGATCTTCAGAAACCCATGCTTGTCGTTACTCAACCAATCAATCAATCAATCAAAATCGACCAATCAATCAATCAAAATCAGTCAATCAATATCAATCAAACAATCGATCGATCGATCAATCAATCAATCGATCAATCAAACCAATCAATCGACTAATCGACCAATCAATAAATCCTTCTGTCCTGCAGTGAACGTTTAGATCAGTTACACGAGAAGGTACAGATACTCTACCCATGCCCATTGATTGATCTGAAACTGAATGACAAAAATCGAAGACCATTCATTGCAAACATCTGTATTATGAAGTAAAATTTTAAAAAATATTGACTGTAATTAACAGAATGATCATAGCGTGTAATTCGATATCATACGGATTGACAAAAATGTGCCGAGTGTAAATGAGTTTTCCATGCCTGATTATTTCCGTTGATGCCATGCTTCCTGCCATTTTGTCACAGAGTTCCATAAAACGTGGCTTTGTCTTCACTGCACGGGGGTGGACGATCCATCTGATTGTAACGCTTTCAGAGTCTGTCAGGAACCGATGGTAAGATGGTTGATAACGGTACTTTTACACATCGCTTCATTTGTACTAAAATATTCAGGCGGTGGGGTAGACCAGTGGTTAAACCGTTCGAAGATCAGGGTTCGATTCCCCACATGGGTACAATATGTGAAGCCTACTTCTGATTCCCCCGCCGTGATATTGGTGGAATATTGGTAAAAGCGGCGTAAAACCAAACTCAAGACCTAGTAATATTATAATTTGGCTGATCTAGTCAAATACGTAAACTCGTCAGAGGATGTAAAGTCGTCAAAGACCATGCCGTACAGGTATGGATCCATGCCGGACAGGTATGGCCATCCGATACTCACTTTAGGCGGTTTAGGAAGTTATATACGAACACGCTGATTTGGTTGGCAGTCGTAAATGGGTGTTGTAAAGTTTCGGTACAAGGTTTTTTAAAGTAGACCATAGCCAGGGTACTTCGGTATTTCTACCCATGTCACTGCAAAGGGGTAAATGGGAAAGAGTTGTCGTTTGGGTGAGGAGGAGGGGGGTAGCCTAGTGGTTTAAGCCTGCACTTGTTACGCTAAGGCCAGGGTTCCATACATGGGCACAATATGCGAAGGCTATCCTCGGTATTGCTGACATGTTGAGACGTGAAACCACAATCGAATAGTGTTAGTGGTAAGTTTAGATTCGTTGACACCCCAGAGACGCCAGTCTTTCAAAGGGTATCCTTTATACTATTTTGTTGCAACTGTAATAACTGGAAAACCCAGTAATAAGACAGTAATAAGTCCTCAAGACAATAGCTTCACTAAATTCAACAACTCAGCCATAAATGTAAAATATGTTTCACATCGAAGCGTCGTTACAAGTTTAGTACAGACTTCTTAGGGGTGGTTTGTCGCTTCTGTTGAGGTCTAGTATCGAACTATATTGATCACAGATGTTTATTGTTCTAGATCTGCTCTGCCACCAGCTACGTCACCCCATCGGGAAGGGTTCTGTACGACATGGGCTGCAAGCATGCTCTGGTAGGAACAAGGCTGTATTTATCAAAGGTCACAGCTTTCTCATATAAGAATGTTATGGATGGCAACCATTTCACTTCAAAAGTTAACTGACAGTAGCTTTTGTTGAACGTTTTAGTCCACCTGTCGGCCTTGATTGATATTCTAACATGTTATATTTGGGATTACACTTTCTCAGTAAAATACATATTCTGGAGAATCTGGCACTTTTGTTGGGTTGAGTCCCATCCGGGATTCGAACCCACACCCTCAGAGTCAGGCACCTAATCGCCAGCACACAAAGTCAGCTGTCTAACCCACTCAGCCATCGCAACTTCCACAAAACTGGAACTCGGACAACTGGTAGTCTAGACAACGGACTTTGTGTTCCCCTCTGATAAGTGTAAATTGCCACTGCTCCCACGGCCGAAAGCTATGAAATACACAATGCCATTTAGAAAGTGGTCAACTGTAATATATGTTATATTTGGGATTACACTTTCTCAGTAAAGTACATTATATTTGGGATTACGCTTTCTCAGTAAAGTACATTATATTTGGGATTACACTTTCTCAGTAAAGTACATTATATTTGGGATTACACTTTCTCAGTAAAGTACATTATATTTGGGATTACACTTTCTCAGTAAAGAACTAGAATCTGTACTTTACTGAGAAAGTGTAATCCACTTGACCACTTTCTAAATGGCATTGTGTATTCATTGAATGGTATTGATACGTAAAAAGGATCTTGACAAATATCTGATATGATATCTCAGGAATAGATGGAGTTCTTATCTCATTGTAATCCGCACACCTTGACCTTGGCTATCTTAAAGTAGCTTTCTAAAAAGTCAACAGAAATGGTTGACAGTCGACCTTTCATGTGTCGAACTTTCGGTTGTTTCGAAAGGAAGGCTTGGTCCCTGAGTTGTCCATATTCAGGTCCCGTCGGCAGCATCAACGTCGACATAACGGAGTTTGACTTCAGTTTAATATAAATATTTAACGGGATTACAGCTCATATCTGGTTCAATATACAATCAACGTAGAAAGATCATGCTTAAAGCTATTCAAGATGTATGTGCTAGTAGTTTTGTGATTACACTATCTGTTATTTTAAACGGCATTGCAAACCTGACAAATCATAAAAAATGAAATTATATTCAAATATGTACATCAGTATATAAGTAAATCTGAACGGTTCGAGTAGTCTTTTTGCTATACACATTTGGTACTATATCATTTGCCCTGAACTGTCAACCCCGGTTCGATTTCCCACATGGGTACAACAAGTGTTTCCCATTTCTAGTGCCACCGCCGTGAATGTTGATAAAATGGGTGTAAAAGCATCCTCACTCAGTCGACACACTATTACGTTATAACGGGATAACGCGTGATGGTGGTTATCTCTATCTCGGGTGGGATGGTGAGTTAGCCTAGTGGGTAAAGTGTTCTATCGTGACTACGAAGACCTGGATTCGATTCCCAACATAGGTTTAGTGTGTGAAGCTCATTTATGGTGTGCCCCGCTGTCATATGGCTGGAGGGGGCGGTGGGGTAGCCTAATGGTTAAAGCGTTGGCTCGTCACGCCGAAGACCCGGGTTCGAATCCCCACATGGGCACAATGTGTGAAGCCCATTTCTGGTGTCCCCCGCCGTGATGTTGCTGGAATATTGCTAAAAGCGGCGTAAAACCAAACTCAGTCAGTCAGTCAGCAGACATATGGCTGGAATATTGCTAAAAGCGGCCTAAAGCTAAACACACTCACTCACTCTACTTCAATACCGTATTATCATATCGCTTCAGAAAATTCGAGAGCCATGACGTCGTCTGAATGTTCCAGAATCTGGCCAATCCAACCTTCGCACCAAGTACGGCGTTGCCTTCCATGATGACTTTGCCCGCTGGGTCTGACCGGAAGCGGTATCTTTGTGACCGGCTGTGTTTTTCTCATTTCTGCAACTACAGGCTGTGTCCGAGTTACAGTAAGCCTGGGGTCGCTGTTATTTCATCCACTAAGATGACCACGTTACAGCGACCTCCTTCAATAATACATTAGAACGAGTCATTTCCTGCGTTAGGGATCACAGATAATAGGACTGACCGATATCTTCGTGTGATACTTCTTGATATAAAACGCGTAACGTGTTTGTTAGTTTGTGATCGCAATCTTACTACCACTACTACTACTACTACTACTACTACTACTACTACTACTACTACTACTACTACTACTACTACTACTGCTGCTCCTGCTACTACTACCACCACCACCACTTCTACTGCTATTCCTGCTACTACTACCACTACTACTACTACCACTACTACTACTACCACTACTGCTACTCCTACTACTGCTACTACTACTACTCCTGCTACTACTACCACTACTAATTCTACTACCACTACTACTGCTGCTACTACTACTACTACTACTACTACTACTACTACTACTACTACTACAAAACCACCATCAATTCTACTACTACTACTACTACTACTACTACTACTACTACTACTACTACTACTGTTACTGCTGCTACCACTACTACTGCTACTACTACTATTGCTACTGTTGCTACCACTACTACTACTACTACTACTGCTACTGTTGCTACCACTACTACTACTACTACTGCTACTACTACCACCACTACTACTACTACTGCTATTACTACTGCTACTACTACTACTACCACCACCTACTACTACTACTACTACTACTACTACTGCTACTACTACTACTACTACTACTGCTACTACTACCAACACCACCACTTCTACTGCTACTACCACTACTACTACTACTACTACCAACACCACCACCACCACCGCTTGTACTAGTGCTACTACTACTACTACTACTACTACCAACACGACCACCACCACCGCTTGTACTACTGTAGCTACTACTACTACTACTACTACTACTACTACTACTACTACTGCTACTACTACTACTACTACTACTATAACCACCAACATCACTTTTACCACTACTACTACTACTACTACTGCTGCTGCTGCTACTGCTCTACTACCACAAACATCACTTTTACCACTATTACTACTAATGTTACTGCTACTGCTAAAACAAAGAACATGAAAACATTAGCAAATTATACCTTTCAAATATTCCCTGAAACAGAGAGAAAGGTAATGTTACAGACTACTCAGCTGGCATGCTGCACCTGGCATTTAGATATACTCAAGTGTGCAAATAACATCTCCATATTCCCTTATTTTTCTTTCTCTTTTTTATCCTCCTTACAGATCTAATATATATATTTTGTTAAATCCGGAAACCAAGTAATTAAAAGAAGGAAATACGTGAAATTGGGTAGACACCTGGGATCTCTTAAACAGGTTTAGTATAGTGGCCCCTTCGTGAAAGTAACCATTATAATCAAAGTGAGATTTCTCATGGAAGGGGACAGGTCCAGTTCATAGAAATTTAACATCATTAAACGTTTGGTTGGTGAAAAATATCGTTCCGTGATAACTCCACAGTGTTTCTCTGTCTTAACTACAGAATCTCGGACGAATATCCGGTGTGTGACCTGCTCCGGGGTCAGTGACCCCAGTAGATGTGAAAGAATAAGAACATGTTCCTCACACGAGGTACGTCAGTTGAAGTAAACTCGTGAAGATCCGGGTTAGAATTGGCCTTTAGCAACCCATGCTTGCCTCTCCCGTGAAGATCAGTGTTAGAATTGGCCTTGATCAACCTATGCTTGTCTCCCCCGTGAAGATCCGGGTTAGAACTGGTCTTGAGCAACCCAGTCTTGTCTCTCCCGTGAAGAGCCGGGCTAGAATTAATTGGTCTTCAGCAACCCGTGAAGATCCGGGTCAGAACCGGTCTTCAGCAGCCCATGCTTGACTCCCCCGTGAAGATCCGGGTCAGAACCGGTCTTCAGCAACCCATGATTGTGTCTCCCGTGAAGATCCGGATCAGAACCGGTCTTTAATAACCCACGCTTGTCTCACCCGTGAAGATCCGTGTAAGAACCGGTCTTCAGCAACCCATGCTTGTGTCTCCCGTGAAGATCCGGGTCAGAGCCGGTCTTTAACAACCCATGCTTGTGTCTCCCGTGAAGATCCGTGTCAGAACCGGTCTTCAGCAGCCCATGCTTGTCTCCCCCGTGAAGATCCGGGTCAGAACCGGTCTTCAGCAACCCATGATTGTGTCTCCCGTGAAGATCAGGATCAGAACCGGTCTTTAATAACCCATGCTTGTCTCCCCCGTGAAGATCCGTGTCAGAACCGGTCTTCAGCAACCCATGCTTGTGTCTCCCGTGAAGATCCGGGTCAAAGCCGGTCTTTAACAACCCATGCTTGTCTGCCCCGCAAAGATCCGGGTCAGAACCGGTCTTCAGCAGCCCATGCTTGACTCCCCCGTGAAGATCCGGGTCAGAACCGGTCTTCAGCAACCCATGATTGTGTCTCCCGTGAAGATCCGGATCAGAACCGGTCTTTAATAACCCATGCTTGTCTCACCCGTGAAGATCCGTGTAAGAACCGGTCTTCAGCAACCCATGCTTGTGTCTCCCGTGAAGATCCGGGTCAGAGCCGGTCTTTAACAACCCATGCTTGTGTCTCCCGTGAAGATCCGTGTCAGAACCGGTCTTCAGCAGCCCATGCTTGTCTCCCCCGTGAAGATCCGGGTCAGAACCGGTCTTCAGCAACCCATGATTGTGTCTCCCCGTGAAGATCAGGATCAGAACCGGTCTTTAATAACCCATGCTTGTCTCCCCGTGAAGATCCGTGTCAGAACCGGTCTTCAGCAACCCATGCTTGTGTCTCCCGTGAAGATCCGGGTCAGAGCCGGTCTTTAACAACCCATGCTTGTCTGCCCCGCAAAGATCCGGGTCAGAACCGGTCTTCAGCAACCCATGATTGTGTCGCCCGTGAAGATCAGGATCAGAACCGGTCTTTAATAACCCATGCTTGTCTCCCCCGTGAAGATCCGTGTCAGAACCGGTCTTCAGCAACCCATGCTTGTGTCTTCCGTGAAGATCCGTGTCAGAACCGGTCTTTAACAACCCATGCTTGTCTCCCCCGTGAAGATCCGTGTCAGAACCGGTCTTCAGCAGCCCATGCTTGTCTCCCCCGTGAAGATCCGGGTCAGAACCGGTCTTCAGCAACCCATGATTGTGTCTCCCGTGAAGATCAGGATCAGAACCGGTCTTTAATAACCCATGCTTGTCTCCCCCGTGAAGATCCGTGTCAGAACCGGTCTTCAGCAACCCATGCTTGTGTCTCCCGTGAAGATCCGGGTCAGAGCCGGTCTTTAACAACCCATGCTTGTCTCCCCCGTGAAGATCCGGGTCAGAACCGGTCTTCAGCAACCCATGATTGTGTCTCCCGTGAAGATCAGGATCAGAACCGGTCTTTAATAACCCATGCTTGTCTCACCCGTGAAGATCCGTGTCAGAACCGGTCTTCAGCAACCCATGCTTGTGTCTCCCATGAAGATCCGTGTCAGAACCGGTCTTTAAGAACCCATGCTTGTCTCCCCCGTGAAGATCCGGGTCAGAACCGGTCTTCAGCAACCCATGCTTGTGTCCCCCGTGAAGATCCGTGTAAGAACCGGTCTTCAGCAACCCATGCTTGTGTCTCCCGTGAAGGTCCGTGTCAGAAGCGGTCTTTAACAACCCATGCTTGTCTACCCTGTGAAGATCCGGGTCAGAACCGGTCTTCAGCAACCCATGCTTGTGTCTCCCGTGAAGGTCCGTGTCAGAAGCGGTCTTTAACAACCCATGCTTGTCTACCCTGTGAAGATCCGTGTCAGAACCGGTCTTCAGCAACCCATGCTTGTGTCTCCCGTGAAGATCCGGGTCAGAACCGGTCTTCAGCAACCCATTCTTGTGTCTCCCGTGAAGATCCGTGTCAGAGACGGTCTTTAACAACCCATGATTGTGTCTCCCGTGAAGATCCGGATCAGAACCAGTTTTGAACAACCCATGCTTGTCTCCCCCATGACAATCCGGGTCAGAACCGGTCTTCAGCAACCCATGCTTGTGTCTCCCGTGAAGATCCGTGTCAGAACCGGTCTTTAACAACCCATGCTTGTCTCCCCCGTGAAGATCCGGGTCAGAACCGGTCTTCAGCAGCCCATGATTGTGTCTCCCGTGAAGATCAGTATCAGAACCGGTCTTTAATAACCCATGCTTGTCTCACCCGTGAAGATCCGTGTCAGAACCGGTCTTCAGCAACCCATGCTTGTGTCTCCCGTGAAGATCCGTGTCAGAGCCGGTCTTTAACAACCCATGCTTGTCTCCCCCGTGAAGATCCGGGTCAGAACCGGTCTTCAGCAGCCCATGCTTGTCTCCCCCGTGAAGATCCGGGTCAGAACCGGTCTTCAGCAACCCATGATTGTGTCTCCCGTGAAGATCCGGGTCAGAACCGGTCTTTAATAACCCATGCTTGTCTCACCCGTGAAGATCCGTGTCAGAACCGGTCTTCAGCAACCCATGCTTGTGTCTCCCGTGAAGATCCGTGTCAGAACCGGTCTTTAACAACCCATGCTTGTCTCCCCCGTGAAGATCCTGGTCAGAACCGGTCTTCAGCAACCCATGCTTGTGTCTCCCGTGAAGATCCGGGTCAGAACCGGTCTTCAGCAACCCATGCTTGTGTCTCCCGTGAAGGTCCGTGTCAGAAGCGGTCTTTAACAACCCATGCTTGACTACCCTGTGAAGATCCGTGTCAGAACCGGTCTTCAGCAACCCATGCTTGTGTCTCCCGTGAAGATCCGGGTCAGAACCGGTCTTCAGCAACCCATGCTTGTGTCTCCCGTGAAGATCCGGGTCAGAGCCGGTCTTTAACAACCCATTCTTGTGTCGCCCGTGAAGATCCGGGTCAGAACCGGTCTTTAACAACCCATGCTTGTGGCCCCTGTGAAGATCCGTGTCAGAACCGGTCTTCAGCAACCCATGCTTGTGTCACCCGTGAAGATCCGGGTCAGAACCGGTCTTCAGCAACCCATGCTTGTGTCTCCCGTGAAGATCCGTGTCAGAGCCGGTCTTCAGCAACCCATGCTTGTCTCACCCGTGAAGATCCGGGTCAGAACCGGTCTTTAACAACCCATGCTTGTCTCCCCCGTGAAGATCCGAGTCAGAACCGGTCTTCAGCAACCCATGCTTGTGTCTCCCGTGAAGATCCGTGTCAGAACCGATCTTCAGCAACCCATGCTTGTGTCTCCCGTGAAGGTCCGTGTCAGAAGCGGTCTTTAACAACCCATGCTTGTCTACCCTGTGAAGATCCGTGTCAGAACCGGTCTTCAGCAACCCATGCTTGTGTCTCCCGTGAAGATCCGGGTCAGAACCGGTCTTCAGCAACCCATGCTTGTGTCTCCCGTGAAGATCCGGGTCAGAGCCGGTCTTTAACAACCCATTCTTGTGTCGCCCGTGAAGATCCGGGTCAGAACCGGTCTTTAACAACCCATGCTTGTGGCCCCTGTGAAGATCCGTGTCAGAACCGGTCTTCAGCAACCCATGCTTGTGTCACCCGTGAAGATCCGGGTCAGAACCGGTCTTCAGCAACCCATGCTTGTGTCTCCCGTGAAGATCCGTGTCAGAGCCGGTCTTTAACAACTCATGCTTCTGTCTCCCGTGAAGATCCGTGTCAGAACCGGTCTTTAACAACCCATGCTTGTCTCCCCTGTGAAGATCCGTGTCAGAACCGGTCTTCAGCAATCCATGATTGTGTCTCCCGTGAAGATCCGGGTCAGAACCGGTCTTCAGCAACCCATGCTTGTGTCTCTCGTGAAGATCCGTGTCAGAACCGGTCTTCAGCAACCCATGCTTGTGTCTCCCGTGAAGGTCCGTGTCAGAAGCGGTCTTTAACAACCCATGCTTGACTACCCTGTGAAGATCCGTGTCAGAACCGGTCTTCAGCAACCCATGCTTGTGTCTCCCGTGAAGATCCGGGTCAGAACCGGTCTTCAGCAACCCATGCTTGTGTCTCCCGTGAAGATCCGGGTCAGAGCCGGTCTTTAACAACCCATTCTTGTGTCGCCCGTGAAGATCCGGGTCAGAACCGGTCTTTAACAACCCATGCTTGTGGCCCCTGTGAAGATCCGTGTCAGAACCGGTCTTCAGCAACCCATGCTTGTGTCACCCGTGAAGATCCGGGTCAGAACCGGTCTTCAGCAACCCATGCTTGTGTCTCCCGTGAAGATCCTGGTCAGAGCCGGTCTTTAACAACTCATGCTTCTGTCTCCCGTGAAGATCCGTGTCAGAACCGGTCTTTAACAACCCATGCTTGTCTCCCCTGTGAAGATCCGTGTCAGAACCGGTCTTCAGCAATCCATGATTGTGTCTCCCGTGAAGATCCGGGTCAGAACCGGTCTTCAGCAACCCATGCTTGTGTCTCTCGTGAAGATCCGTGTCAGAACCGGTCTTCAGCAACCCATTCTTGTGTCTCCCGTGAAGATCCGGGTCAGAGCCGGTCTTTAACAACCCATGCTTGTGTCTCCCGTGAAGGTCCGTGTCAGAGCCGGTCTTTAACAACCCATGCTTGTCTACCCTGTGAAGATCCGGGTCAGAACCGGTCTTCAGCAACCCATGCTTGTCTCTCCCGTGAAGATCCGGGTCAGAACCGGTCTTCAGCAACCCATGCTTGTGGCTCCCGTGAAGATCCTGGTCAGAGCCGGTCTTTAACAACCCATGCTTGTGTCTCCCGTGAAGATCCGGGTCAGAACCGGTCTTTAACAACCCATGCTTGTCTCCCCTGTGAAGATCCGTGTCAGAGCCGGTCTTCAGCAACCCATGCTTGTGTCTCCCGTGAAGATCCGGGTCAGAACCGGTCTTCAGCAACCCATGCTTGTGTCTCCCGTGAAGATCTGGGTCAGAGCCGATCTTCAGCAACCCATGCTTGTCTCACCCGTGAAGATCCGTGTCAGAACCGGTCTTCAGCAACCCATTCTTGTGTCTCCCGTGAAGATCCGTGTCAGAGCCGGTCTTTAACAACCCATGATTGTGTCTCCCGTGAAGATCCGGGTGAGAACCGGTCTTTAACAACCCATGCTTGTGTCTCCCGTGAAGATCCGTGTCAGAACCGGTCTTCAGCAACCCATGCTTGTGTCTCCCGTGAAGATCCGGGTCAGAACCGGTCTTCAGCAACCCATGCTTGTGTCTCCCGTGAAGATCCGGGTCAGAGCCGGTCTTTAACAACCCATGCTTGTGTCTCCCGTGAAGATCCGGGCTAGAATTAATTTGTCTTTAAGAACCCATGCTTGTCTCCCCCGTGAAGATCCGTGTCAGAACCGGTCTTCAGCAACCCATTCTTGTTTCTCCCGTGAAGATCCGGGTCAGAACCGGTCTTTAACAACCCATGCTTGTGTCTCCCGTAAAGATCCGTGTCAGAACCGGTCTTCAGTAACCCATGCTTGTCGTAAGAGGCGACATCCGATTGTCAGGCTCGCTGACTTGGTTGACACATGGCATTGTGCAGATCGATGCTCATGTTGTTGATCACTGGATCGTCTGGTCCAGACCCGATTATTTACAGACCGCGGCCATATGGCTAGAATATTGCTGAGTGCGGCGTTAAAAAAACCAACCAACCAATCAGTTGAAGTACTTCAATGTAGAAAAAACTCTCGGGTGTTTTATGTCGAGGGGTTAAATGGTCCGACAGCAAGAAATTACACAATTCATTTCTTTCAAGAACCCTTTCTTTCCTTCTGCAAAATATACTGCACCTTTTTTAATAGAACGGCAATGGTAGGGTTAAATAAGTGTGTTAAAGCTTCCTACACCTGATTAATACGTGTCTGTCCTTGTCTTCAAGGTGTGCATGTATCAGAATTACGTCACCGACATGTTGGAGCTTCGGTACTCAATGGGATGCGTGTACAAGCAGGTGCGTATGTCATATGTCATATGTACGTGTAAAACTGGAATAAAAATCGTGTGACTAAATGCGACACAGGTACATAAACTCCAAAACGTAGCCATGTTAAGTTTGTATTTGTAGTAGGTAAGCACCCCCCCCTCCAATCCATCCCTACCACGCACACATACGATCATCTCTAAAATATCGACGCCATTTTGGTAGTAGAAGTAAATCAAAATCATGTGACATGAACTTAATATTCGGTTGAGCAACACAGGTGTAACAATCATTGTCGAGCTTAAAACGCCTGTATTGTTGGTCAAAATGTTAGCTCTGCATGTCAGTCCTGCTCGATTCCTGCTGACTGGGTTCCGTCCTATTGCGCAACTTAGTACACTAACCAGTCCAGAATTTTGAGACAAATTCATTCAACTGGATACATAGATATTAATCAGTATTATTTGATACATCTAACCACTTGTATATGGCAACACTACGCTCCTTCTAATCCTTGCAAACACGTGCAGCGTGCTCTGTCGAACAGCGTGCTCAAACCAACGGAAATCAGGAAATCGTGGAAATGTAAAAACGAGGCTCTGCCGCTAGAAACGTTTGGCAGTCTGGTACGGACTTGATACTATATCAATCACATTGTCCGTTATAAAACTACATTGAATAAGCGCGAAGAACACATAACAGGTGTAACCATTGAGGCAGATGAATTGTGAATCATTTTATGACCTCATCAAACAGAAGCAGTCTGTGACGTCTAGTTAAGGTCATGCTGCCTACACCTCGCCATAAAATACAGAAATTACGATGTTATTAAAGTTTTAAAATAAAATTAACTTTTAAGCACCATTTTCTTATGTAACAAGGAATTGGAATTCAGTGTAACCATAGTTGTTTGTGGTGTCTTTTTTCACTTTCACTCGAGAAAATTCGGATCGGCTGAAAAGTAGGTCATTGTCTGAATAGGTTAATGACACTCATGTTTCGGTTTGCCACCAAACAGGGGTCTCGCCGAAGGACCGGGTTCGATTCCTGCTCTTAATGCAAACCATTTCTACTCTCCCCCACTGTATCATTGTCGTGCCGATGTGAAAAGCTGTGTAATTTCTCTGCTGCGACGAATCAGAAATGTAAAAGATGAAAAATGTTATATCAACAATAGCAATGATGATGTGGTTTGTCTTCGGAAGTCGCAAGTCGCACCGTGAGAACGTACCTTGAGACGTGCCAATAGTCTAGGATTATGGGTTCGAATCCCTGATTCGTCCTTTTATGGTTTTTGGTGTCTCGGCACCAAGCTCAAGGATTTCATCCCAGTGGAAAACGTAGAAGACATGTAGTTCTACTATTTGCATGAAGCTGACACGTTTGGATGTAACTTTGATCCTTTTCAAAGTGGCGTAAAACCCACTCACTCACTCGAACTTCGTTAGCTTTCTTTGGCTGAAAGGGGCGGTGGGGTAGCCTAGTGGTTAAAGCGTTCGCTCGTCACGCTGAAGACCCGGGTTCGATTCTCCACATGGGTACATGATGTGAAGCCCATTTCTGGTGTCCCCCGCCGTGATATTGCTGGAATATTGCTAAAAGCGGCGTGAAACCAAACTCACTTACTCACTCACTCTTTGGCTGATATAAACCGACTCACTCAACCCTCACTCACTCAATCATTCACTCGGGCGATGGAGTAGCCTAGTGGTGAAAGCGTTCGCTCGTCACACCGAAGACCCGGGGCCGATTCTCCACACGGGTACAATGTGTGAAGCCCATTTATGGTGTCTCCCGCCGTGATATTGCTGGAAGCGGCGTAAAACCCAACACACTCACTCACTCATTCCATCACTTTGCAGGTATGCGACATCAACAATGGAAGGAAACGACAGTTACGTAGGAATTGTTGTGACACAGATTTCTGTAACATGGTGTCGGCTTTAGGTAGGTCGTGTTTGTTTCTTGATGCACGTTGCTGTTGTTCTTTAATTATTATGGAGACATAGAATAATATTATCGCTTGTGGACACTAGTACGATTTCTAAATACTACCTACCCAGTCCAAATTGCAGTGTATTGTGGTCAGGTGGACTTTGTACGCCTCAGTTCGCTTTCCAGAGTAGCATCCCTTGGTCTATCAAGGATCAGCCGATCTCCCCACCTCTCCCTGAATCTCTCTCTTCTTCCCTCTTTTCCTCTCTCTCTTTCTCCACCTCTCCCTCTCCCTCCCTCTCTCTTTAAATCTCCCTCTCCCTCCCTCTCTTCCTCCTCTCTCTCTATAAATCTCCTCTCCCTCCCTCCTCTCTATAAATCTCCTCCTCCCTCCCTCTCTCTTCCTCCTCTCTCTCTCTAGCACCCTCCTCCTGTTCTCTCTTTTTCTCTTTCCTCTCCCTCCCTTTCTCTATAAATCTCACTCTCCCTCCTCTCTCTTCCTCCTCTCTCTCTCTCTTCCCCTCCCTGTTCCTCTCTTTCTCCACTTCTCCCTCCCTCTCTATAAATCTCTCCTCTCCCTCCTCTCTCTCTTCCTCCCTCTTTTCCCCATCCCTGTTCCTCTCTTTCTCCACCTCTCTCCCTCCCTCTCTCTATAAATCTCCCTCTCCCTCCTTCTCTCTTCCTCCTCTCTCTCTCTTCCCAATCCCTGTTCCTCTCTTTCTCCACCTCTCCCTCCCACTCTCTATAAATCTCACTCTCCCCCTCCTTTCTCTTCCTCCCTCTCTCTCTTCCCCATCCCTGTTCCTCTCTTTTATCCACCTCTCCCTCCCTTTCTCTATAAATCTCACTCTCCCTCCCTCTCCCTTCTCCCTCTCTCTCTTCCCCATCCCTGTTCCTCTCTCTTTCTCCATCTCTCCCTCCCCCACCCACCCTATCTCTCACTACTAGCGCTCTCTCACTCACTCTATCGAGCATATCAAGTCCAACACACATCCAGTTTTAAATTGTGTCATTTTATTCTGTAGGTGTCACATCGCCGTCTGCATCAACAATGTTTACCTCAACTTCAACCTCAGCCTCGACTACAAGTACTACCATAATCCCGTCTGCAATGACTTCACCAACAACAGCTACTACAAGTAGTACAACCGCAGCAACGAGACCTACACAACGAATTACAAGTACGACGTCGATACGTCAGCTATTCAGTCACCGTGACAGATGCCTTAATAATAGTGCATATCCCAAGTGTCAGAACGCCAATCACTGGTTTAATGACCCCTTAAGAGTTTTCATGGGTTTGGTGTAGGCAGACAATTGACCGTTTGGCTCCATTTACTCCAGACCAACAATCAAAAGTACTGAAATACGGTGTACTTTCAGGTCGTTTTGTCGTGAGAGTGAGGCCACATTGGCCCAGTTGAAGTCAATTGCTAGCATTTGGATTTAATGAAGATGGTGTTATAGACAGTGTTAAATTTAATATTTTAAGAGAATCTTGTTACATTATTTGTTTTACAATTACACATAGAAACATATCGAAAGGGAATATATACATATTCATAAATATATTTAGTACATTCAAACATACATAAACTTTAAAAAAAACCAAATATTTAATTTTTTTATTGGTTCCCAAGATTAAAATATTACAGATATTCAAAGCCGTGATACATACGGCTTAAAGTAATATGGCTACATGATGTACAGGTGAGATATTATTGTATTAATATTTTTATATACATGCATATTTGTAATACTGCATAAGTGAATATGTCTCTTCGCAGCAATGATGACTTTAATTTTATTTAATTTAAATTCATTTAAGTATTTTGCAATTCATTCATGTTTATGCCTGTGTCGCACCTACAGTGTTTTGAGGAACGAGGAGAGAGAATCTGAGAATTCCACAGGTTAAATCTCTCATGTTTGCATGTAATGATATGTGTGTCTAGCCATTTCTTGAGTCACTTGTTGTTTTAGGGCTTGGAGAGATTAACTGTGGCACGATGTTTCCTGTTAATATTGGAGAATAGTCCGACGGGAAGGGGTCTTATGCTTAAATAACATCCCCCGAGCAAAAGATAGGGTGGTATGAAATATCATGGCTCCCCATGGCGGCCTTATATTGGCCCAGTCATTTTGCATTACTGTGCCATTTCAGTGTGAAATTCTTTATATATTTATTGCATCAATACATCTTTCTCGTATATTTCGAAATCTTGTTCACTCATACATAACTTTTGACCTTTGCAAGTATATATTCCAAATACTCCAGAGAATTCCAGTGAAGTACAGAGATTATATGAGTGGCTCCATTTCCTTCCTAAATCATATCCATTCATCCCTGTATCATTTAAGCGTTTGATATATTTTCAGATATTATTATTATTATTATTATTCTAGGATATTTATATAGCGCACATATCCACGCAACTAGTACATGCTCAAGGCACATCGTATTTTGAACCTCAACTCCCTGGGGATCATACAACTCTTGCAGCCACTAGGCGCACCGAGCGGCTTTCCCATCCTTACGAGGTACCCATTCACAGCTGGGTGGACTGGGACACATAGTCACAGTATTTGTCTAAGTTCACTGCACGTTGCTGTACCCGCAACCAGGCGGTTGCACGTATGCATGTGGCCACCATCTGGTGATATACCAACGGTTTCGTGGGTTCTTATAAGTGCACAGGGTTGTGTACTGTACACTAGGGATGGTGAAACCATTGAAAGAATCTGTACAGAAAAATGAGTCCAAGGTTTTTACACCCGGTCACAGGTTGGCTCGATCCCGGCTCCTCAATCCCGCTCTATCACTAGCCTGGCGCCTTTTACAGCTCGCCCACTATGTGTATAATCTACTGAAACATTACAGTTTCAATGTTCATCCACAGATGGGCCGATATGCTTGTCGTGCCGGTCATTCAGTCAGCGGAAAGGATGCAGTACTGTAACGGTCTGTCAATCTGACCAGGTGAGCTAAGATCTTAGCAGAACATATCTAAAGTGAAGCTTAGTTAGCATGGACCTTGCCTATACCGGCTGCCCATTCATTCCCTATACCCCAGCTTGCCATCCCCACGATAACTCCACAGGGGGACGGTTGGGTAGCCTAGTGGTTAAAGCGTTCGCTCGTCACGCCGAAGGCCTGGGTTCGATTCCACATGGGTACAATGTGTGAAGCCCATTTATTGTGTATTGCTAAAAGTGTATTGATGTATTGCTGAATATTACTTTAAAAGCGGCGTAAATGTAAATTCACTCACTCATTCACTACGATTACTGGTTTTAGGTGAGTGAGTGAGTGATTTACCGACTTGGTGGGTTTGTGTGGTGAGCGAGTAAATGACAATGGAACTACGCCGCTTTTAGCTATATTCCATCCATGTTACGACAAGTAGACTCCAGGAATCGGCTTCATGTACTCATGTGAAGTATATGTATCTTCATCCCCAGGTGTGTTATTTATCTGTGGACAAGTCGGCAAAGGGGCTGACGTATTCCTCTGGCTGTACGTCGAAGACCGTGAGTACAGTACTTAGTCCGTGTCTAGTTACATTACATAAACAGGGATCGACAGACTGTTACATTAACCATATTAATGACTTGTTTTCCTCAAACTTGACTTCCGGTGTATATTTTAAAAACAAATAAGGTCAAATGCTATATTGATGCTTAAATGTCATTTCCAATATTACGACGTTTCTTTTGGCTCTCAGTATATATGAGTGAGTGAGTAAGTGAGATAGTAGAGGGAAGGCTAAGCGACACATGTTACAATATATTTGGGAGGTGGGGTAATCAGGTGGTTAAAGCGGTCACCTGTCACGCCGAAGACCCGGGTTCGAATCCCCACATGGGTACAATGTGTGAAGCCCATTTCTGGTGTCCCCCGCCGTGATATTGCTGATGTATTGCCAAAAGCGGCGTAAAACCCAACTCACTCACCATCTCCAGATTCATAGCCCATCCATTCATCGTCTCACTCCCATCCACTCGTTCACAATCATATTGTCTTTCACGCCTTAAACTGCAAAAATACAAAACAACATTGTACATTATATTTTTTTTCTTGACCGAAGTCAATGTTCCTGGAGTCCGACGTCAATAATTGCGTTATCACACAGTATGACATTACTGCAACATGTTTATATTTCCAAATCTAATCGGAATCATTTTCCCCAGGGTTTAATATTCACCGAATCATCATCACTTTAATATGTTCCTTCATCAGCCTCCCACTTTGTTTCAAATTGATGTCAAAGTCATATTGTGCTTCGCTTGATTGACAGCTGCGTTGTCTATTTCTGACAGCCGCGTTGTCTATTTCTGACAGCCTGTCGCAACCGAGACGAAATGAACTACACAAGATAGAGGCACCGGTCAATGCGAATACGTTCCTTTTTTAATCTCAAAATTGAAATCCACTACAGGCAATTAAATTAGAACAGATGTAAGAGTGGTGCTCTATTTTTAGAAAACGTGTGGCATTTCTTTACACGGAAGCACTCGAGTTTCGTAAGTGTCCATTAAGAGCTGCAATGTCGTTAAACGACTATTGGAATAGACTGACCACATAAAGGACACGCTTGACCATTACGCTGAAAATGAGGTCCTTTCTCTCTGACTGAATCTAAGTAAGAGGAACCTCACAAATCTAAAGCACCGAATAAAAGGAGTACCGCAAATCCTTAAGAGACGAGTTGGCATAATAGATTTGTTTAATTTACGGAAATCTTTGAAACAGTGAAGTACTTGACAAGGGACATTTCTTTTCCAATCTCGGTAAAACCATATGTCGTGCTGGCTAAAACTACACAAAGATCTAAGAACAATTCCACTATAGGTCACGTCAGCACGACCTTTAATCGGACCTGTCCGAATGCCTTTTTCTAATCATACACTTTCTAAAGGTTCCCACGGGGCATTCCGAAAGAAAGTTACGGACTGTACGACAGATGCCGAATGCCAGACAATGCGTCAACTGGATGTGTATTTGAAACAGATGAGACGTTATATAGCCTTTGAAAGTATTTTCATACAAAACTGGTCATCTTTTAAACATTCTTGAATTTTCTTTTGTTCAGTTGTTAAATTTTGGATTGAGACCTTTATCAAACTATTCAAGAAAGCTAAGTCTGGGATGGATCTGTATTTAAAGCTCGAGAAAGGGGTTTTCTGAATTGGATGTTGATTTGATTAGCTTTTTATCTCACTCGCTTGCCCACTCACTCACTCACTCCAAACCCAGTCCCCATTCACTCACGTACTCCCTCACCTACCCACACACTCAACCACTCCTTGCTGCCGCCCTGCGCTTCCGACCGACCGCTCGATCATTCATTCATTCATTCACTCACCAACTCACCTACTCACCCACTCACTCAGTCAAACTCAGTCAGCAACTTGTTAGACAGCTAACGGGATCGGGCAATCAGGCTTACCGATCTGGTTAACATATGTCATCTCACATCGTCAGCTGGGATATTGCTGTCACTCACTCACTCGTCTCCACCTCCCCACTCGCTCACTCACCCACTCACTCACATGCTCCCCCGACATCTGTCTCCACCTGCCCGCTCGCCCACTCACCAATCCACTCACTCATCCGCCAACCCACGCACACGCTCACTTGCTCCCGTCCTCTGTTTCCGCTCGCCCACTCACCTATCCACTCACTCATCCGCCAACCCACGCACACGCTCACTTGCTCCCGTCCTCTGTTTCCGCTCGCCCACTCACTCACCCATCCACTCACTCATGCGCCAACCCATGCACACCTCCCGCCTCTGTTTCCGCCTGCACACTCACTCACTCACTCATCCGCCAACCCACGCACTAACTCACTTGCTCCAGCCCTGTCTCCGCCCGCCTAATCGCTCACTCACTCACTCATCCGCCATCCACGCGCTCCTCACTCACTCACTCACTCATTCACTCAAATCCACCCACCCACCCGCTCACTCACTCAAATCCACCCACTCACTCAAAATCCACCCGACCGCTCACTTATTCTCTCTCTCAAATCCACCCACCCATTCACCCAAATCCACCCACTCACTCACTCAAATCCGCCCACCACTCACTCAAATCCACCCACTCACTCACTTAAATCCACCCACCCACTCACTCAAATCCACCCACCCACTCACTCACCCACTCACTCACTCACCCACTCAAATTCACCCACTCACTCACTCAAATTCACCCACTCACTCACTCAGTTCAGCATCAGATAACATCTCTGAAAGCGTCAAGCTGAGGACACAAATCAGATATCGATTATACGCATACGTGAGCATGAAACGAGATCACCGGGGGAAGCCTTCACACCTTGCCTCCCGTTCATAATGGACCCCTATAATTTCTATATTTTACGTTACATTTATCTCGTTGTTCTGAGCCACTGCCATCGAGAATTTTAAAAACTAACACGCCAAACCCGTATCGTTGTGATATAATCGAATATCTGTCAACCAGATGATTGGTGTACTGACAGTTGAATTGCATGTCACTCATAACACCAAGCCCACGCAACGATGAAGCTGTAAAGCTGCTGACGTTTCTGACGGAGTGATGAGCGATTTGCGACACCTTCAGCAACCACGAACAACGTTGTGGTGAAACAAACGTTCATGTCATCCAGTTTATTAAGAAATGACATATAAAATTTGAAGAGGCATCGAAAGCAGAATTTAATCAATTATTCAAAAATCACGTAAATTTTAAATGTTATTTGTTTTAATTATCTAAGCAAATTTACTAGAACCATTAAGAATTAAATGTTATCGACATCCAGTTGAAAAAGTGAAGATAGAATAAATTGCCATTCGAATGAACAGTTTAAAAACATTTAAAATCTCAACGCTCGATATTTCCTCCCACGACTTTCATTTGAATCTCGGGGCGGTGGGGTAGCCTAGTGGTTAAAGCGTTCGCTCGTCACACCGAAGACCGGGTTCGATTCCCCACATGGGTACAATGTGTGAAGCCCATTCTGGTGTCCCCGCCGTGATGTTGCTGGAATATTGCTAAAAGCGGCGTAAACCAAACTCACTCACTCACTCATTTGAATCTCCTCAATGATGCGACTGAAATATATCGAAAGAAGTAGGTAGCGTATTGTACGCTCGTGTATGATGTAGAAATAATCAACAAGCGTGTGTTGTGACATTTTGGTGACTGACTGAGTTTGGTTTTACGCCGCTTTTAGCAATATTCCAGCGATCATCGCTATTTTTAACGAGGAGGGGCCACTTGCTGGTAGAAGAGCCAGGTGTGCGAGTTGCACGCGTGAAATTAAAATGTCACTACACACGCTTGTTGATTACCTGTCTCCTCTACCACCAAGTAATGTTAGAGAGCAATTCATCGGTCTCAAATGAAACCAAACGGACTGTAGTAGGGGTGGGTGTTTGATAGCAGTTACCACTGGCCTGTGACGCTGTTCTGAGGATGCTATGGGTAAAGTGCACTGTAGGTAATAAAAATCGGCGCGGTTATATTTCCGACTGCGGTGTAAAACAACATTCACAATAATAATTGTTCCATGTGTTTTGCAATAGTAAATCATTTCCTTTCTTTGACCAATATATATATTCAGCTTTGCAGTGGGTTCGGGACTACACTTATTGGTAAGAGATCGAACGATTCTAGTCAGATGACGTCAGGTGCGGCCGTCCAACGTTGCTTCCAGTGTTGCGGTTTCAACTTCTGCAACTACGATCTGTGTTCTTCCATCTTCATGTCGACACTAGTGGGTTAGTGAGTTACAGATAATATGACCCATGAAAATCTGGGTTAGACTATTGATCTTCAGTAACCAATACTTGTCGTAAGAGGCGACTAACGGGATCGGGTGGTCAGGCTCGCTGACTTGGCTGACACATGTCATCGTGTCCTATTTGCGTAGATCGATGTTCATGCTGTTGATCACAGGATTGTCTGGTCCAGACTCGATTATTTACAGACCGCCGCCATATAGCTGGAATATTGCGTAATACTGAACTGAACTACTGGCAAACAAGGATAAGTTGAGCACCGACCTGACAATTGACCCGTATTAGCATGTATGAGTGTCGCCAACTGGCGCTTGCCATTGTTAGCGAAGGGGCCCCAGGGTGTCCGCGATCAAGTGTAGTGCGATGGGTGAAGCAATGCGTAAGGCGTGTGCAGCTATGCGCGGAATCAATTTCATCGTCATGCACTGCGTGCACTAGCCTACATCTGCTCTACTTTTCACAAACCAAATGGGTTTGCTCATTGCCGTGCACCGCCTACTTCTCGTAAACGCGCTCTCTGCGCCGGTCCAACTTATCCTTGTTTGCCAGTACATATGATATGATTGGCAATACATATTGGTTCTTACTGCTATATTCCTTTTAAAAAAATATGTTTTGTAAACCGTACGGCCAAGGAAGGCAAAGTTTTTTTACGCGATTGAAATTTGAAAGAACCATATTGTTAAATTTGATTGTCTGCTTTACCATCACTCTTTCCTTTTGTTTGGTACAAAAATAATTGGTTCGATTGGACTGAGGTAAGAAATAAATCATTAGATGCATTATATTAGTATGTCTGAAATTTAAGTCAATTTATTGATTTTCAAAGATATGATATATATCAAAGGTACCCATTAGAAGCTGCGCATTATGCGACTTTTTCAGAAGTTATAGAATCTGTACATCCGATTATATTAAAAAACAATACCATGTATAAGTATTTGTGAGTGCAGACCAAGTGCCTCTAATACATATAGTATCCCAAACGTCAGTCATTTTCAGCTGAAAATTGAACACATGATCACACACACTTAGATGTAGGACTGAACGGTATACCGGTATACCTCAATACGCTTTTCAAGTGATACGTATCGCAATATATTTTTTCTGAGAACCGGTATATTGGGTAAAGAACATATATGAAGTTTTTGTGATTAAATTTATGGCTTAAATTAAAATCTACACAGACTTTCATTCACAACAAATATTTTCCTTCGTTACTCAATTACAAAACGGTACACTGTAAAACTATAAATTGTATAGAAAAAAGAATGCCTGGCTATGCAACGAAATTTTGAGATTGCTGTTATCAGAACCATAACCTGTATGTTTAGGGACTTATAATGTAGAAAATGGGATCGACATGCACAATTAGTGTAACTCACTGTCAAGCACTGTTTGAAAAGGTCCCAATATATTGCAATACCTGAATCGCGATACAGTTTATTAGCCAATACACTGCCCTACTGAGTGGTATTGTTTCTTTTGTTCCTCAGTATATGTTACATCCTAGACATACTTTACATATATTGATGCCAATGTAAAATTCGTTTCAACGCACAGATTTCATATCTGTCTTTGACTAATTTTCAGTCATGTGAGAGTAGGGTCTGGCTGGCGATTAGCGACTTGTGTCTTTCTGATCCAGGGGCGGTGGGGTAGCCTAGTGGTTAAAGCGTTGGCTCGTCACGCCGAAGACCCGGGTTCGATTCCCCACATGGGCACAATGTGTTAAGCCCATTTCTGGTGTCCCCCACCGTGATATTGCTGGAATATTGCTAAAAGCGGCGTAAAACTAAACTCAGTCAGTCAGTCAGTCAGTCTTTCTGATCCCAGTCAGCCATGTTAATTTCTTATTCGTTTCAGTGTCTAAGATTTTCTTTTAATTATAATAGACATTCGAATTTAATTTAAATAAGTAACTTTTTTTCTTTTTTTTTTTTTTTTTTTGCGAAAGAAAACTTTTATTCTAATATTAATGGCCTACTTTTGGAATTATATGCTGAAAATAAATCTTCATATTGGAAATTATTACGTTATATTGTTAAAAACTCGGGCTCTACTTCGCCCTACATTCCTCCTCTCAAGCAGAATATTGATGATGAATTAAATAAGTAACTTGTCTAAGCTATGTTTTGATAGTTCTATATATTCTTGGTTTCAGGATGAAAAGACGCCATGCACGATTTTTCAACACAAGGGACAGGGCTGAGCCAATCACTATTTCTTCGTAGTGTTATATATATATGTATTGATACCATCATTCCATATACATATTCTTTAATAAATGATTAAAGAAATTATAGTGTTTTTTATAATGTGTAAATTACAAATTTTAATACAATTACATGGCAGTTTTTACGAGAGAAATAAAGCAACGATTGTATACAAGGCTTAAAGGGGGCGGTGTGGTAGCCTAATGGTCGCTCGTCACGCCGAAGACCCGGGTTCGACTCCCCACATGGGTACAATGTGTGAAGCCCATTTCTGTTGTTTCCCCCCCCCCCCTCCTGTGAGAGGGTACGTAAGTCCCAAAACTTTCCAAATTAAATTTAAGCTTTCCAGGTTTTTAAACGTAGTATTTGTGTTTTTTTAGAATTTGACTAGATTGTTCCTACAATCGCGAGCGGCTGAGGGTGTCAATCCAACTAAGGTCCATGCAGGTAGCAAACGCACTGTAAGTCCCCATGGTCCCTAGTACGGTGATCTACCTTCAGTTGTTGGCGATCTATAGCCCGTGTTTTATATTGTATTGTCTTCTTCAATTAAAATGTTTTGATTTACATTCTAGTTTTATATTCATATCTGTGATAATCTGGTATTTTTACTGTCCATCGTCGACAGGTTTGACCCTTAAAAATGTTTTCATTTTTTATTGTATACATTGTTTTCGTCACGATATGGCTGAGATATTGCCGATGTGACGTTAAATATTAACTCACTCACTGTTGTTCCCACGCCGTAATATTACTGAAACTGCGTCAAACTTAACTCACTCGATCACTTAAAGTAGGCAGCAATGACTAGTCGTTTACCAGGAAGAAATGGAAAGTAGAAAGAAGAGTTTGGAGAGGTGTTACCATTTCGAGAAAATATTCTGTGTTACTTGCACTCCTCAGCAAAACAGCCTATGCAATACATAAAACCTTACCGACGATTCGTGGGAACTATTCATTGCGGCAATTAAAACGTCCGGAAATCCTAGACAGTTTTTTGTTCATCAGGGAGAACTCCTGGAGAGACAATAATGTCATTTTCATCTCCTTACGCCGTTTCCAATTGTGTAATGTCAGTCTAATGTGTTACGACAAACCCAAGAAGTGCTTTGCCCAAATTACGGGTGTTTAGACACAAATCGCGTCACTGTGGAATCTATTCAACGCCAGCGCAAACAACGTCCACGCATTTCGAAAACACGCCCAGTCTAGCGAGCTGGGCATTCTCTTAGAGATAATTACAGTTTTCCATTTGCTAGGCTAAATGATTCCGAATCTTTCCAATTTGGCATCAGTGATACGCTTTTAATCGCAAAAGCAGCGGGTAGAAACGACCACTTCCGTTTCGTCAAAGCTTGGCACTATCCAACGCCGTGGTGGATTTGAGAGGCCAGGCTCATTTGGTCATTTTCGAAATATATGAGCATATTCCGGTATCTGATAATCCGTCAGCTGGACAGACGCTTTGCATTATTAGCGGCATATTCCGGTATCTGACAATCCAATCAGCTGACAGACGCTTTTGCATTATTAGCCCTATGACGTGCAATTGTGTGATTTGTAATAGTTCTATATAACCGCCTTGTATTGAGAGGCGCGGACAACACTTTATCGTGATTGACCACCAATGTTCTGATTTCCTATACGTTTAAGAGACAGGCTGGACTTGTTCGAAAAGTAATATTCTGACCGGATAGGTGGACAATGTCCTTCCCGAGAGAGTAATTGGCGCAATGAATTCTTCTCGCTCTTGATCAAGGTCATATAATACCATAGTGCACTTCGCTTGGTCAGTCAGTGTGATTTCTAGCGGCTATCAATCAGCGACACAGAGGAACTTAAGGTAAGACTTCTTTTTGGTGTTCGTCTTTTTATTAATATTGTGAAATAATTCACTTATTTGGAAGGAGATTTCATTACAATTTATTTGTGTTGCAATTTTGAAATTTATCTTCTCTTTGAAATCTTTAAATATAGCACGGAATCCTAACAAATGTTAGCAGGTGCGTTGTTATACTTTATGTAATAAGCATTGTCGACTAGCAGAGTTACCTCCCTTAGGCGTTGCAGGGTTCGAATCCCTTATCTCAACTGTTGAAAGTTTGTAACACTACCGTGGGTAGTCGTGGGTGTCACCAGAGAGTTAGACGTCTGAGACCGGCATCGCTTGTGACATCAATCTGACTAAATAAATATAACTATAGTGCGTTTGGCTCAAAAGCGGACCGATGAATTGCAATCTAACTCGAAAACTAATAAACATATAATACTCAATGAAACGCTGATCATAATCAAAACATCAGACCAACTCTGTGATTTGTTTGAAAAATTTATGTCCTTAAATTAAAAAATTTGTTTAACAAACTATCATGAAAATTTTGACACAGTTCACTATTTGGGTCGAGGGAGGACTACAGAGAAAGGGACAGCCAGGTGTTAGAGAAGCACGTGCACAAGTACCGACAAAGTTATTGATTCATTAACCTGTGCTGTGCCGTCTCCATTCTTTCTCGCACACCTGGCTGTCCCTTTCTCTGCACTCCTCCCTCGTAACAAATAGTGAACTGTGTCAATATTTTAATGATAATTTGTTAAACAACTTTTTTATTTTTAGGACATAAATTCTGCAAAATACTCACAGAGTTGGTCTGACGTTTTGATTATGATCACTGTTTCATTGAGTATTTTCTGTTCATTAGTTTTCGAGTTAGATTGCACTTCATCGGTCCGCTTTTGAGCCAAACGGTCTATAAATAAAACTAAATTTAACTAAATGATATCATGGTGTTATATAAATGTTGACACAACAGGTGAGAAATGTTTGGTTGTCGTGTGTAATGACAATGTTCTGTCACCACTATACTGTGCTGAGACTATTGAAAGCTTGAGGTGTACGAGCAGAGTGGCCTTGGCCCTCCTTGTACAGATAATAGTCTATTCAGATAGTGTTCAAAGCAGAGGGAACCATACTCTCTTACACTCTGGTGCCATGACAATATTTCACGAAACATGATTGAATGTGTAGCACTTGACATATCGGTAGATGATGGTGGGATTAAACGATTCGAAAGTCTAAGGAAGGATGACAATATATGGATCAACAAACTCTTTATTACAGAGGGCGACGTTTCAGTGTAGGTTCTAACACCTATCAAGCAAGTGTCTTCCTTCCTTAGTGCTCTAACTTCTAAATGCCTCTCAAACAACTGATTCGTTATTCTGCTAGCGCCTTTAACACAGAAACGTGAAAGGTTCACTTAAGCAATACAAGGTACATAACTGAAACTATAAATGCAAGTATATTGAAAAGAGCGGTGGTTAGAGCGTCCGCCCGGAGTGCGGAAGGTCGCGGGTTCGATCCACGACTGCGTCATACCAAAAGACGTTAAAATATGGTACTTGTTGGTCCCTGCCTGGCGCTCGGCATTAATGGGTACAACAAGGACTGGTCGGCTTGAAGTCAGTATAAAGTGTCTGAGTGGGGTATTCATGCTTCACTGCGGCATGGTATCTCAGTGGGCTAGCACTATAAAACCAGCTTAAGTCTGGGCTAGTACAAGCAGCCGCACATACACATACACACGCATGCACGTCGTCATATGAGCGAAATATTCTCAAGCACGACGTTAAACCCAATTTCACCTCACCTCTGAGTACTGACATTAATTATCGTATCCAACTTACTCTCACAATACTTACACAATCGTACCATACTGATTTTCGCATTATTGACAATATCGTATCTAACTGGGAATTTTCTAGGAGGCTGTTTATCAATCAATCAGATTGCTACTAGATGTTCTAATTCGACACAGATCAACAACTCACAAGCCAAGGGACGTTTGAGTTCCCGCAAACACGGTAATGTGGCAAAGTCCTAATGAATATGCATTAGCAGCCAAATCCATTATGTTCCGGGGGTGATATTTTGGCAATATTCCAGCAATATCACGGCGGGGGACACCAGAAACGGGCTTCACACATTGTGTCCATGTGGGGAATCGAACCCGGGTGTTCGGCGTGACGAGCGAACGGCATGGACCTGAACTTAGCCATTGTGTATATGGTTTATAGTAAAGTTAACACGTGTACATATACGTAAAGGGAGCAGATTAGAATATAAAAAATATTTGTGAAGCATGGTGAAAAAATATATACTCTCCCAAACAAGAAATGCATCATGAAAATAGCAATTTCATGTAGCAATGAATTAAAACGTGATTCATTTTACAAAAGGTTTTGCTCTGTTTATGAGTCCTATGGTGTTTATGTTTTGAAACATCACAACAAAACGCACCATCCGTAAAATACCCGTATGTAACAGCATGATTTTCAATTTCGGCGTGTAGTGTCACAGAATACACAATTTACATGCAATGCACGTGAAAGTTGGGGATCAGATAGTCTCAATGATGGGTATAAAAGGTTGATCGCTGTCTGTCGATTATTCACTGTATTTGGAATATTGTTGACGAACGCAAAATGCCACGTCTAAGTGAAGCCAACCGTCATATCGCCATTGGTTTGCTTGAAGCTGACCAGTCTCAACGTGCAGTTACCCGACGCATGAATGTTCACCAAAGCATCATTTCACGGCTCCGGGAGAGATATCGCCCGCAGAATGCGTTAGCAGATGCCCCTCGTAGTGGGCGACCTCGAGCGACCACTGCGGCGCAGGATCGCTACATCCGGGTACATCACCTGCGTCATCGAACAGCTACGGCGACCAGTACCGCTCGACAAATACCCGGATTGAGGAGGCTTTCTGCACAGACCGTCAGGAACAGGTTGAGAGAGGCTGGTTTACGTGCCAGAAGACCTTATTTTGGCCCTGTGCTTCGACAACAACATCGTCGACATCGAGATCAATGGTGCACCAACGTTCAGGCCTGGAACCTACCGAATTGGCGTAGAATCTGGTTCAGTTATGAATCACGATTTCTATTGGAACGACGCGATGGAAGAATGCGGGTTTACAGACGACGACGTGAACGTTTCGCCGACGCTTGCGTTCCCCAGGTGGACAGATTTGGCCGGGGAAGTGTTATGATGTGGGGGAAGATCACCTGCCGTAGGAGAAGTGATTAGGTGATGATCCAGGGCAACCTGACAGCTCAACGGTACTGTGATGAAATCCTACGGCCACACCTCATTCCAATCATTGATCGCCAGAGGGAGTTGTTTGAACAGGACAATGCCAGGCCCCATACAGAACTCACACTAGAGACTTCCTCCAGAACCACAACATCAATGTGCTTCCCTGGCCCTCAAGATCACCGGACTTAAACCCGATCGAACTTCTGTGGGATGCCCTGGACAGACGGGTGCGACGCCGTAACCCTCAGCCCCAGACACTACAGCAACTCGCACAGGCACTACAGGCAGAGTGGGCTGCGATTGCGCAACACGAGATTCTGAGACTTATTCGTTCGATGCCGAGGCGATGCGGTGCAGTTCTGGATGCCCACGGTGGTCACGGTGGTATTGACTTCAGCGCCACCACACGTCTCCATGTGACACTCAAACTGACTTTCCTCGAGTTGGTGCCAAAGAAGGATAAGTCTGCATTCCCAGTGTGCAATTTCGCTATATTTCATTGACTCATAAAGCCTACAAGATGTTTCAAAATAAACATAAAAATACAGTTGAAACTCCTATATGCGTTTCTTTTTTTTGGGAGAGTATATATTGAAAAAAATAATTATTTGATGTCGCTTGTAGATATTGGCAGCCAGTAACTATCTATGTCTTATTTCATTTTAAAACATTAATTGATTAAGATCGTACCTGTGCTGCCTGTTTTTTGGACCGATTAGGCAAGTCAAAACATTGAGTACACAACAATCTCGTTTCCTGTTGACTGGGTTCCGTCCTATTGCGCAACTTAGTACAATAACAAGTCCAGTCTATTTTCACTTTCAAACGAGAAAATTTCGGATCGGCTGAAAAGGAGGTCATTGTCTGAATAGGTTAATGAGACTCATGTTTCGGTTTGGACAAAACTTAATTATTTATTTTTTACAAAAAGCACGGTGATGTTGTTTTGAAGATACTAGCAGCCACTAACTATCTACGTCTTATTTCAGTGTAAAGCAGTGATGAAGATCGCACCTGTGCTGCCTGTGTTCATCTGCCTGTGGGGTGAGTAGAAGCACAGGGATCTTCCCTGTACAGTAATTGAGGGTCGGTGATCCCTGACGTTGATCAGCACTCTTATGTAGCCGCAACATAAGTGTGGATTTAGCAACTTTTAGTTTCCAATAGCGCTGATAAGTGAGTATGATTGTAGACCACTCAGCAATATTCCAGCAATACTATAATTAGTCTGTTTGCAGTGAAAACGTACCGGTGAATTTCACTTTAAATAAAAATGTAAATGGAATAAAGTGAAATTAAGATTGCGAATCCCCATAATTCTACCTTACCAATTAAAAATTTAAATCTTAGATTTTTATTCAACTTAGGAAAAAAGTTGTTTAACAAACGATCATAGTTTCAAATCGCTTATATTGGTTTGTATTACAAGGGGGTAAGCGCACAAATGCACGTGCGGTACATGATGGGCGTTAACTTAGACCAACCCTCCTTGTTCTCGGTGTTTCATTTAATGTGCATACCCCCTTGTAATACAAACCAATAATACCGATTTGAAACTATGATCGTTTGTTAAACAACTTTTATCCTAAGTTGAATAAAATTCTGAAATTTAAATTTTCAAATGGCAAGGTAAAATTATGAGGATTCGCAATCTTAATTTCATCTTATTCGATTTACTTTTTTGTTTAAATTGACATTCATTGGTACGTTTTCAATGCAAACAGACTATAGTGTCAGTTACTGTCAAACACTGTCAAGTTCCTAATATAGTTGCAATCTTAATTTCACTTTATTTGATTTATTTTATTGTTTAAAGTGAAATTCATCAGTACGTTTTCACCGCAAACAGACTATACACGGCGGGTAACATCAGTAATGTACTTTGCAGAGTTTACTTATGGAGAATCGAGCCCATATATACGACGTGGTGACTTAAAGCCTTTACCACTAGGCTCAGAGGGGGTATTGTGGGTGGGGTGTGTATGCAGGGGTGCGCCCATTGAAACTCTCGTGTAAACGGGTAATACTGAAGTGTGCAGCCCCTTTGTCAAAGTAGTGCTTTCCTCTTCACCATCTAGCCCACCCCCCACCCACCCCTTAAGTAGGTACAGATTTCAAATTGTCATTGTCAGGTGAACACACCGACTCCAATTGTCTCGTATCACGGGTCACGACTGATATATTTCTTATATGAATGTAATGCAGAATCATATAGTTTCAAAACAATAACGCTATTACAATTCCTCACTGGCTAATATCTCTATTTCTATCCACGCTTGATCCGCCTTTTCCTTGTCACGACTGGGCGGTGATTTTGCTATTGTTTTCATGTTCCAGCTGGATCGATGGCTTTCATGGACTTTTCCGAGCGAATGATCCCGACATTTCTACTTCCGCTTTTCGACCAGAACGATGACGGGGTCCTCAGCAACGGCGAGATAGAGGAAGTGAAGAGTCATCTCCCTTCGTTCGGATTCAACAGTGGGGAATCACGGATACTCATGGCTACTGCGGATAGGAACAAAGATGGAGTATTGAATTCTTCCGGTAAATGTTTCTGCTTTTATCAGTTTTGCACTTTAATAAAATAATAAAAGCACTTCATTGGAATTTTTATATATACAGGAAGATACGAATGGCACGTGCATTGTCACGCTTTCCCAATTAGACATGCGGTATTAGAGGCAAAAATATATTCACTCGTGACAAAGGGGCGGTGGGTAAAGCATTCGCTCGTCACACCGAAGACCCGGGTTCGATTCCCAAAATGGGTACAATGTGTGAAGACAATTTCTTCTGTCCCCCGCCGTGATATTGCTGGAATATTGTTCAAAGCGGCGTAAAGCTAAAACTCACGCACTCATCCACGTACACCAAATGAAAAGTTTAAAAAATATCAAATAAGTGTACGATATAGATCATAATCGACGATGTGTTCTTGTTTTAAGACGAGTAAAGTCATAATCATGTCTTCCTTTTCGGGTGACCAGGCTGTGCAGAGTTGTGTCCCTTAGGCGTAATAGGAACCACATAGATTTTGGTTTATCAGATTCACACATGTAGGCAACTATTAGTGTTCACCAACGTGCTATGGGTATCCTCGCAGATTTTCATCACATTAAGTCTGAAGTTCCATCAGTTTGTTGTTTTAAGCCGCACTCAGCAATTGTCCAGCTATATGGCGACGGTTTGTAAATAATCGAGTCAGGACCAAACAATGTAGTGATCAACGTCATGAGCATTAATCTACAGAACTGGGATACGTTGACATGTGTCAACCAAGTCAGCGAGTCTAACCAACCGATCCCGACAATTACGACAAGCATAGATTCCTATAGATCAGTTCCAACCCGGATCTTCACGGGTACATATTTTATGAAGTATCATCCCTGAATAAACGAGTATTTTTATTTCAGAATTTAAAGACCTATACCAGCTGATAATGGCCGAGCAGGTCCGGCGACTGGAAGAGGCCATCAATAAGTGAGGCTCGATCCCGGAATCCCATGTGAACATCTCCCTCTCGATCAGACTGCTGGCGACTTGTGTTTGGCATGACTTTCAAACAGAATAGTCACTTGTCCGAGTGAAATGTGTATTTAGAGTAGCTCTTCCTGTCGATGTGTATTTTTGAATAAAATAGTATTTGTAGAATTCATTTTATTGTATTAATGGACGGTCTGTTTTTGAATTGAGCACAAAATCCCTTGAGTCAGTGGGATGGTCATGTGGACTTTACAATGACTCAATGAGGTGAGGTGAAATTGGGTTTAACGTCGTGCTTGAGAATATTTCGCTCATATGACGACGTGCATGCGTGTGTATGTGTGCCTGCTTGTACTAGCCCAGACGTAAGCTGGTTTTATAGTGCTAGCCCACTGAGATACCATGCCGCAGTGAAGCATGAATACCCCACTCAGACACATTATACTGACTCCAAGCCGACCAGTCCTTGATGTACCCATTAATGCCGAGCGCCAGGCAGGGGCCAACAAGTACCATAGTTTAACGTCTTTTGGTTTGACGCTGTCGGGGATCGAACCCGCGACCTTCCGCTCTCCGGGCGGACGCTCTTAACACTATACCACGGAGGCGGTCCAATGACTCAATGAAACCAGTTGGACCTACATGTTGGTATCCGAACCCAATACTGTACTGATCCTAGCCGGTAATGTTTCAGTTTACACTTTGTCATCTTGTTATCTTGTTATCCCGATAATAGCAGGGTAAATAATGGGTTCTACAGCTGAAACTGATGTTTGTTTGTCTGTTTGTTTCTATGGTTGTTTAACGCCGCACTCAGCAATTTTCCAGCTATGAGGCGGCGGTCTGTAAACAATCGAGTCCGGACCAGGCAATCCAGTGATCAACAGCATGATCATCGATCTACGCATTTGGGGTACGATGACACCTGTCAACCAAGTCAGCGAGCCTGATCACCGATCCCGTTAGTCGCCTCTTACGACAAGCATAGATTGCCAGTTCTAACCCGGATTTTCGCGGGTGGTTAAACTGAAGTACAAAAGAAAGTACACAGCTCGTGCTTTGGGGTTATTTTCCAAAGGACACCGTAAATATTTCGTAAAGTGTTTTTATTGTGACATTGTTCGTGTGTTGAGACAACGCCACAAATATTTAGGTTCTTCAAGGTAACCCACAGGATTACCAACCTTATTCTGACAGGATCCGCTGAAGTTGGGTTCTTATGGTGAGTCGGGGGGGTGGGGTAGCCAAGCGGTTAAAGCGTTCGCTCGTCACGCTAAAGATCTGGGTTCTATTTCCTACATAGGTACGATGTGTGAAGTCCATTTCTGGTGTCCCCCGCCGTGATATTGCTGGAATATTGCTAAAAGCGGCGTAAAATCATACTCACTCATGATCACTCTTATAGTGAGACGGGTTTCACGCCCTTAGACAGTAGCACGGCATGTCATAAGCTTAAGGGAACCAGACCGGTGTGTGTGTGCGTGCGTGCGTGTGTGTGTTTTGGTTCGACCCGAAAGGGAACGAGGAGAATACACGAATTTTATGATAGCCAGAACAGTGGTTCGGCAACGGCATACATTCTGAGTCAGTAAGTATGGATTTGCGTCTCTTTTAGCAGTATTCCATGGCCAGCAATAATGGCGCTGGACACTTGAAAAAGGCTTCACACATTGTACCCTCCCACGTGCACCTTTATGAATTACTTAAAAACTATCAAAGATGTGTTAGAAGGTATTAGTTTACAGGAAAGCTTAACAACACATCTTTATTACTAATCACGAAAAGTAATCTCTAATGCATTCATATTTAGGTGAAATGCATCTTTTTGAGAAGAGTTAAACTGTCCTATTCTTGACCATGCTGAAATAACACAATACAAGTGAACAAAAGAGGTTTGATATACAATTCTGCTTTTAGAAAAAGATAACTCATTTAAAGTCACCATTCTTTAACAATTAAAAACAAGAAACAACTGTCGAAGAGCGTGTAAGCTTGTAAAAGAATCATTCCTATGATTTCAGTCTTCCAAAACATTCCCTGCTGATTTGCATAAGTGAGAAAAAGTAAAACGTGTCTTTGATATTGTGAAAAAGTGTTCAGGAACATTAGAATTATTGCTAACATATTTGCTTGCAAAGTAACATTTTTACATTTCCTGTTTACAAATAGCAATATCAGTCGCCAAAACGTAGCAATATTCAAGCAGTATTTGGATCCATTTCACCTGCAGCATGATTCTATAGGGTATAAAGAGAGCCTAGAATGCATGATATGATACACAAGTACGAGAAATATGCCACGATTAACAGCTGAAGAGAGTGAAAGACCCATTGGGATGGTGCAGATGGGGTCGACATACAATGTTGTTGCCATTGCCCTAGGATGCCACTGTATCAAGGTTATAAGACTTATTCAGCTACAGACTGGGGTCACCGTAGACAGACCAAGACGTGGACGTCCACGCATCGCAACGCCAGCTGAATCTAGCTACCCCAGTCATTAAGGACTGACTGACTGAGTTTGGTTTTACGCCGCTTTTAACAATATTCCAGCAATATCACGGCGGGGGACACCAGAAATGGGCTTCACGCATTGTACACATGTGGGGATTCGAACCCGGGTCTTCGGCGTGACGAGCCAACGCTTTAACCACTGGGCTACCCCACCATTGCTACCTGTAGGGCCATGTTCGTAGCGGCTATTACGCTATTCAGCCTAAAACACTAGTTACATATTTGTCATTAATTGACTGACAAAACTGAACAGAATTGTAGTTTTAAAAGTGTATTGTACCGTTTCTTTTGGCGTATAGTGTATAGTTATCCCAAAACTGGCCCCTTTGAACCTGGCTGAACGTTCCACTGACAACCTTGTTTCGTGTTGTTGAAGCTCCGACTGAACCGACCACCTGCAGTCCAGATTCGTCCGGTTCATACTAACGGGACATGGGGAAACTTGGTGGTAATGAGTGAGTGAGTGAGTTTAGTTTTTAACAATATTCCAGCAATATAGAAAACAGAAATTGGAACACTAAAAATGGGCTTCACACATTGTACCCATGTGGGGATTCGAACCCGGGTCTTCGGCGTGACGAGCCAACGCTTTAACCACTGGGCTACCCCACCATTGCTACCTGTAGGGCCATGTTCGTAGCGGCTATTACGCTATTCAGCCTAAAACACTAGTTACATATTTGTCATTAATTGACTGACAAAACTGAACAGAATTGTAGTTTTAAAAGTGTATTGTACCGTTTCTTTTGGCGTATAGTGTATAGTTATCCCAAAACTGGCCCCTTTGAACCTGGCTGAACTTTCCACTGACAACCTTGTTTCGTGTTGTTGAAGCTCCGACTGAACCGACCACGTGCAGTCCAGATTCGTCCGGTTCATACTAACGGGACATGGGGAAACTTGGTGGTAATGAGTGAGTGAGTGAGTGAGTTTAGTTTTTAACAATATTCCAGCAATATAGAAAACAGAAATTGGAACACTAGAAATGGGCTTCACACATTGTACCCATGTGGGGAATCGAACCCGGGTCCTCGGCGTGACGAGCCAACCCTTTAACCACTAGGCTACCCCACCGCTTCGATATAATGGACCCTTGAAGATCCGGGGTAGAATAGGTCTTCAGCAACCTAGGCTTGCCACAAAAGGCGACTACGCTTGGCGTAAGAGGCGAGTAACGGGATCGGGTGGTCAGGCTCGCTGACTTGGTTGACACATGTCATCGGTTCCCAATTGCGCAGATCGATGCTCATGATCACTGGATTGTCTGGTCCAGACTCGATTATTTACAGACCGCTGCCATATAGCTGGAATATTGCTGAGTGGGGCGTAAAAGTCAACTCACTCACTCACTCACTCACTCACTCACGATATAATGATATGGCCTAACACCTTTCTTTGTATATGTATCATGTAATTGTTTATTTTCCCCCGATTATTGTATGCTGTTGATCACTGGATTGTCTGGTCCAGGCTGACAATGTCAACATCACGGGGACATTTTAAAATATACTCTTCAAGATAAGTAGGGGAACCTGAACTTTCAATTTGGATATAAGTGTTGACAAACTTTTCAAAGACAGACATTTTATGAACGCAGCGACATTTCTCTTTATCATCACCCCTAAACACAACGCATGGGATGCACGTGCACAACGCAGTAGCCCCTTACACGTGCATGGGGTGTCATTCTTGATTTTGACGGTTTTCAAGAAGGTCGATAAATCACTGCAGACCATTAATTTTGACAATCATCTTGCCTCACATAGTTGTCAGCATTTGTTTCTAGCCGTTTTGTTGTGTTTTTTGTTGTTGTTTTTTCGCCTTATTGCTTGAAAATGAAAATCGTAAACATGCACATTTCACGTCATACACCAATCATCTTTCACGAGCGATTACTGTACAAACAACTATTGTCATAAGGAAGTGCAAGTGGTGATGCACTCTCAAAACATTCATTATTATCATATCAATATTGATTGACTCCGATATATCTCCCAATTTTTTCAAGCGTAAATTAAAAATGAAGTCCCCTACTTTTTAAAATATTAGTTGTCACGACACTGCACAGTCGGATTGAGTATTGCTCGATACAAATTTGAGGGGCGGTGGGTTAAGCCTAGTGGTTGTCTCGACACCTGCACAGTCGTGATATTGCTGGTATTGCTAAAAGCTCGATACAAATTTGAACTTGATACGAAATATGGTAACGTGACCATCACCTTTGGGCAGCGACCGCGCTTGTAATCTGATAAGGACAATCTCGTGACCAGACATCTGGTTAAAAACTCAGAGTCATTGTGCCAATTTCGATTGTGAAACCGTTACTCAAAAGGTAAGGAATTAATTTCCACCCTTAACAATCATGTATACTCGTACAATGAACAATAAACAAATTCTTATTGTTTTTAACAGGGATGAAATTGTTTTGAAGCATTTTCTGGAACAATTCGGGATCTTCTAGAAAATATTCTCGTGATCAGACATATGGTTAAAAGCCTAGAGTCATTGTGCCTAATTTCATTTGTGAAATCGTTATTCATGAGGTAATAAAATTAATTCTACCATGACATTTAAGTATATGTTCGTTTTGATTGGCTTTACTGATCATGAAGTGAAAATGTTTCAATACATCACTAGCAATGAACGATCTCATAA